TCTTGCTCCTGTGTTCTGATGTCTGGAGTTTTATTTGAGCAAATCTGCAATTACAAAAAAAATTCTTGTAGAGTGGCCTGATGCCTGTGACAAAGATGGTCAGATAAGGTTAAAAGAGGGGAGATTTCAACAACATCAGCACGTGAAGGGTGTGACGACATCAATGTTTTTCTTAGGGGTCCTGGAAAACTGAACTGAGTGAAAGAATTTTTGTTAATCTGAGCAGTGAGATGGCTTTTTGACTCTCTCAGCCAGTTCTATCTCGTACAACCTCCCGAGCACCGTGGTGGGACCGTGGATGGAGCCATGTATCGGTGTGGCTGAGGAGCGCTTGGTGTGGTTGCAGGGCAGTTTCTTGCTCTGGCTGGAGACACCCGTGTCAGATGGTGTCCTCAGAGCAGGAGGATGGTTACACACCAGGACACCGCCAAGGAACGCCATTCCCTCCGGGGATGATGAGCAGCACCCACACTGTCCCCTGGCACGGTCCGGTCTCCCCGGTGCCGTGCCCGGTGGGGAGGCCGAGCGGTGCTGCAGGGATGGCCCTATTTCCCGGTTCCCTTCTGGGCAGAGCCCGTTCCGGAGCTCCAGGGCCCCCCGCCGCCGCCGGGTTCCGTTCCCCTCCGCTTTCCCTTCGTTTCTCCGGCTCTGGCTCCTCCTCCGGAGGGGGCCGGGGCCCTGCGGGGCGGCAGCCGCTTCGTCTCGCCAGTGGCTGGGAGGGGAGCGGGGGAGGGCCCGGCGCCGCTTCCTTAAGGCGAGGAGCGGCCCGGCCGGCAGCGGCAGCGAGCGGCGGCGACGGCGGGGTCCCGGGCCGGGAGGTAGGTGGAAGGGGCTGGGGAAGGAGCCCCCCATCCGTGCCCCGTGGGCGGCACAGGGAAGGGCTCCCCGCCCGGAGCCCCGTCCTCTGCCCCGGGCACGGAGGGGTCCGGGAGAGCGGCGGCCGGTGCGTTGCGGGGAGGGGGGGGTGGCTTTACATCCGCTGCTTTGTTGACGTGTCTGAAAACCGCTTTAAAAGGGCGGGCGAGGGAGAGAGAAAAGCCGGGGAAGGAAGAGAACGCCCTGGGGAGGCATCAGGTAAGGGCTGCTGGGGCAGATGTGCCGGGTCCGATGGCCAAAGGGGTGATTAATCGTTGGTCACTGGCTTGCTGGAAGTTTCAGGAGGGCTGTTCCAAAGTCTCGACTCTCTCTCTCTTCGTGAGTAATCTCCTAGGAGATTTAAACAAAATCAGCCTCCTGGAGCAGCGTTATCAGGGGTCAGAGTCCCGCGGGTGGCTTTCCCCAGCCGCTCGGCTCCGGCCGGCTCCTGCCCGCTCGGGAGGATGCGGCGCCGTTTGTGCTCCCAGTAGAGGTCCCTTCAGAACAGAGAGTTGGCTTTACAGGTATTTTAAGCTAAAATATGTGGTTTGGTTTTGGTTTTTTTTTTTGTAAACACACCATGGAAAATATTACTACAAAATAATACAGTGTATTTAAGGCACCATCAATTTTCATGTCACTTCGCAAAAGTGAATAAAACTTTTTTCCCTTGCTTCACAGAGGAGATATTTGGGTCTATGTAACAGGCTTTTTGCACAGAATTCAGGCTTAAGTTTAAAAAACCACCCAACCTTTTATGGCTAGCTTAAAATACCTCTCTTTTTTTTTTCCTTTTCTCTATTTATAGAAGGCAAATAAAACAGCAATGTAATGTTAGGGGGAAACGATCAAAGGTTTTAAATTAAACGAAGCAAAAACGTATAGAAAGGATTCTTCATAGCAAAAGTACAGAATTTTAGAAATCAAGGCCGGATAAAGCGGAGTTTGGTAGGTTTCATTCACCAGCAGCAGTAAATCTGTGAAAAGCCGTACAATTGGCCAACTCTTCCCTGGCCGAACTGGAAGTGAAGGCTCTGCTCAAAAATCACATGGGCTCGGCAGGGGCTAACCCTGCTCTGGGGTTTCCACAGCGTGAGGGGAGTCGTGTTGTGCTCCCCAGTTCAGGAGCTCCTGCCTGGGTGTGGAGCGTCCAGTCCAGTGTTTCTCTTGCCGGGCTGGCTCCGGAGAAGGTTGGGTGGGAGCAGGGATCACGTGTCTGAAATTAAACAGATGCTGCTGGGAAAGGAATGAGACCTTTAATAACGGTCACCGAGTACCGCTCCCCTGATTGCAAGATCTTATTTTTGCTGGCACTTAGAATACAGCATTTGGATGCGTAGGGTGCATTTTTTAAACAGTAGTTCTGTTGCCCAATGTAGAACGTGTGACCAGAGGGCTTTGAGCATTTGACTAGTGCATTCCAAGCCTAATGATTCATGCTTATGATTTAAAACCAAGACTGCAGGTTTGAAGTTCTGTTGCCCATTGGTCTTTCTTGCAAATGCCTTGCTTTATTGTTTTTTAAAACTCGAGGGAAGGGCTTGAGGTAGTAACGAAGAGACAAGTAACTAAATGGGGTCACTGGATTTGATGCTTATTTGAGCTGACAGAGCAGAATAGTATTGCATAGCTGGCAGATTAGCAGTTCTCTATTAGATAATAATTCTCTGGGGATTTATACCTGCTGCTAACTGCTGCTTTTATCTACCTAACATGGATTCTGGGTGAGCTCCAGCAGGTGGGGCAGCCTGGTACTGATGTCCAGCCTCCTACCAACCGAGGATCACATGATACCTAAGCGAGTATGCAGTATTGCATAGCTGGCAGATTAGCAGTTCTCTATTAGATAATAATTCTCTGGGGATTTATACCTGCTGCTAACTGCTGCTTTTATCTACCTAACATGGATTCTGGGTGAGCTCCAGCAGGTGGGGCAGCCTGGTACTGATGTCCAGCCTCCTACCAACCGAGGATCACATGATACCTAAGCGAGTAACACAGGCTTTGTGCCACTGCCTGCATCCCAAGAAGTCCAACTATAGAGATGCCATTATAGGAGTTCCTCTGTTGATAACTGCTTGATCACCAGTTCTTGTTCCTTTACCCACAGAAAGTAGGTAAACTCATGGTGGATTTTTCATTTCAGCCTTCTTACACTGTAGGAACCCATTTGTTGTTTCTGGGGTAGCCACAGCAGGGATGGCAACTTGCCATATAAGTCAGCTTTTAAGCAGGACTCAGGTATTCCCTTCTTGGTCAATGTAATGAGGTCAGTGGAACAGAACGTAAGAGAAACATAAATTGTTTTACTCATCTGAACTCAGGTTTTTTGAAGAAGTGGAGGAAAAAAGGCTTTTACCACCAATATCTCTCCCTCCTAGGAGAGGAGAGGAATCTCTCTTGCATCACACTTTGTTTTGAACTGAAGGGTGGTGGTCCCCACTGCCTTGGGCTGTAGAACATCTCAATGGCCATTCATTTTTAGGGGGCAGGTGAGCTGTTTAACTTGTTCCCTGCTTTCACAGAATCAGGCTTGTTCAATCTAGAGCATAATAATTTCTTAAAAATGTTGTGGGGGACAAAAACGAATTTCTACTGAAAGAGCCTGCGGGTTTATCTCCCTTACCCTTAAGGGAAGAGCCCTGAAGAAAATGCAGATAAGGCTTCTGTTTGCTCTATTTGTCTTTCTGCAAAGTCATGCGGAGGTGAAGGTTCCTGGAGGAGATGAGGGCAGGGAGCAGGGTGCCAGCCTGGCCCAGAGGAGCTGGAGCTGGGCTGGGCACTGGGAGCCGCCCGCACCAAGGGCTTCACCAGCCCCAGATCAACTCTCTCTTTCCCCAGTTTTGTGAAGAGGTGTGTCCAATGTGAAAATGATGAAGTGCCTTTTGAAATAATGTTGTCAATTTAGCTTGTTTCTATTTAAAATCTAGTATTTACTGGTGGTGATTTCTAATATATCAAGAGAACCAGCTCCCTGTGCTCCTCGCTGCTTTTCTGTGAATTTTGATGGGATTTTTGGTAACTGCTTTCATCATTTTACTATACAGATGGCTTCATTTTTGTTGTGTAGGAGTCTCTTGTGCCAGCCAGAGAAAGACTGAACGATATTTTAAGCAGGAAAACAAACAAAAAAAAAGTTGGCACAGGGCTCAGGGAGGAAGGAGTATGTTTTGAGTGCTTTCAGTTGATCTTAAATTTTCTTTCAATTAACCGTTGGGGTTTTTAACATGTAATTGTTAAAATTCAGCTTAAACAACAAAAAGCACATAGATCTTGAAACTTCCTGAGATATAGAATACCATAGAGCAGTTTTCTTCCTGAAAAAAATACTGTAATGCAGGGACTCCAGAGGTGTTTTTAGGGTATAGCTGTAATATTTGGAGTTGAAAGCCAACCAAAACACATGATTCTTGCTCAGAAGTTTTCCTTTCAAGGGCTGAGTGGGATGCCATTACCTAGTTAATTCCAGCTTTTCCTGCTGGCCCTCCCACTTCTCCTGCTTTATCCCTAATACAATACAACCCTTTCCCTCCCATCAGAGCACCAGTGCTCTTTTTTTATCCTATTAGGCAAACTGCTTTCATGGTGCTTAGAGAGTTTTGGAAACAAGGATATTTTAAAATTGTTACTATTATTTTTTAAACCCAGACTTTAACAGGAAATGTAAGTGAAATGGGTAGCCACTAGAGACTCACCCCCTAAGCTGTTCTGGGTATTTGTTCAATCTCGAGGTGAGGTGTTGCTAGCCCACTCCCACTTGCTGAACCAGGGCTCCAGTTTCAATCCAAATCCAGGCAACAGGAGGTGCAGAAAATCTATGCTGGAGATGTCGTCTGCAGGGTCAACGAGGGAAACTTCTCTCTGTGTATATTCGGAATGCTCAGACAGAAATATTGCAGCTTTTTGTCTTTAAAAAATGAAACAGCTTTTCTCATGTTTCATATTTTAGTTCTACTGGAGATAAAAACTGTGACAGTACTGAGAGTCACATAATCGACATGTTAAAACTTCTTTTATATCTGATTCTCAAACTGGCCCTAGAACTGCTGCCTTTCTTTATATGTCTGGGTATTTGTAGAAGAATGTCCTTTACCTGCTCCTGATGTGAGTCTTTTGAGATGGAAAGAGACTTCAGGAGATGGATGCTGGTGGCTAGCACGGGTGGTAAAACAGAAGGACATTTTCTTCTTTTTAAGCTGGCCATTAAGAGCAGGAAAGGATTTTTGGTGCCCAGGAGTCCAGAACTCTTTTAGCAGCAGCTGCTGCAGTGCAGAATCGAAGCTGGGAATTATCTCCTCCTCTTCTCCGCCCCTCTCCTCCTCCTCCTCCTCCTCCTCCTCCCAACCTGGGATTCAGACAGGCTGTGGGTTAGCTGTGCCAGGCCGGCCGGCTGCTCCTCGGACTGTGGCGCGTTGCTGCCCGGCAGCCTGAGACTGTGGGGTGTTTTTTGGAGGGTTGAGTTTCAATGGCCACCCCGACTAGCGAGAAGCAAGGACTGCTCATACAGACAGCTCGTTTTTATCGCGTGCAGAGTCGGCTCTGTAGTGGGATGTTGAAATATGACACGATGCCTGTTTGTTTGCAATAGCTGCAACCCTCGTAGCAGAGAGTCAAGTGGGAAACAGAGGGGGAATCCAGAGACAAACCCGCGAGGGAATTAGGAACTGTGACGCCGTCCCCTCTCTCCTGTGCCGGAGCAAGCAAAGAGAGGTAGAGGAAAAAAAGACTGAGCCTTGCAACCAGCCGTCACCCTGACGATGTGTCAGTCAAACACCCTGCAGGGACCAGATCTGCACACAGGGAAATGGTGAGATGCTATAAAGCTTTATCTAACCCTCCACCCTCTTGCTACAACCTCCACAAAGTTAAAATTCATGTCCGGAGGCTGCGTTCAGGGACCGGCGGCAGCAGCAGCTGTGCCGGGGACCAGCACCCACAACTGGAGAGCCCAGGCCCGGCTGGCTCTGCTGGGGGTACACCAAACAGGAGAACTCGTTTCAGGTACTGTTTGGTATTTTCTGCTTTGCAGCAACGGTGACTGAAGGGAGAAACGAGGGAGGGAGGCTGGGAGGGTTTCTGGGCAGAAGGAGCGACAGCCATCTGCGGAGCTTTTGTTTGGCCTAATTACTATAAAGCTCCTTACGCGTTGAATTGGCAGAGAAGGGCACGCTGTTATATGACAAGGGGAACGAGGAGGCTTTCGTTCCTTCCCTCCCTATTCTCCATCACTAGGAGAATGGAAAAATTGGCGAGGGACCGCTCTGAAACCAGGCCAAGGCAGTGAGAAGCCCGAGGGCTCCGGAGCGAGCTGCCAGGATGCAGCTCTGCGGGGATTGGTCCGTCAGTGACTGCAGTGAAGGGGGGGAGAGCAGCGGGAGGGGGAGCGGGACCTCTGTGTTCAATGCTGGCAACCCAGCTCCTGGCCCTGCTGGTCCTCCAGCAGGCTGGGGGGTGGGAAGGATGGGGGGAAGAATGTGAAGTGTCCCTTCCCATTCCCCACGTCGAGTCTCCTGCTGAGAAGAAAGCCGGCTTTACCTCTGCTGAGACAGCGCTTCAGCTCCTCAGGGGTGTTTTGGGTTTTCTTCCCCTTGTGTTGTGATGCACGGGGCACTTTCAGGTTTTTTTTCATTATTTCTTGGAGGGAAATAAGCGGTGTTCACTGCAGAAAGAATCTCTGAGCCAAAAGCAGCATCTTGCACCCTAAAGTGGTGACAGTTGTACCTGCCTGCCTGATACTTTAATTCTGATTCAAGTTTTGAAAAGTATGTGTTGGCAAGAAAACTTCCTTTTAATTTCCCAGCTTCTTTCCATGTTGGAAAGACGTACACAGTATTTTATAGTTCATCCTTTATGTCACAGAATCCAGGGAGAGCGAGTGAGCTGTTGGGAGCAGCCAGAGCACACGGCTTCCAGTTTGTGTGCACACATAGCTCTTTCCCAGTTGCAGGCACACTGCCTTCAGCAGTGTGTGGGGAGCAATCTCTTAGCCAGGATTTAAGCCAGTGCCCAGAAGATTTGAATATTTTGCCCTCAGGCAGGCAGAATTTCATTTGATGATGTGACATTGGAAATGCCAATGGCAGCCAAAGAATAAATTGGGACGTGAAGGGTGTCTCATCCAGACCTCCTGCAAGGGGCTGAACTGAGGCCCGGGGTGTCCTCTGCTAATAAGATGAGCAGCTTTTCCCTTTGAGAGTTACAAGTTCAACTTCTCCCATGGCCACTTGTGCAAAAGGAGTTTCCTCTCAGTCAGGACATCCAGGTGACAAAAAATCACAGAAGCAGCTGGTTATGAGGCAAAGGAGTTGGCTGTTGGGCCACGGAGATTAGATTATCTTGCAGCAGTAGCAGTTTGGTCATGAGGGCAAAGGAGTTGGCTGTTGGGCCATGGAGATTAGATTATCTTGCAGCAGTAGCAGTATTAGCTTTGTCCATACGTTCTCTGTTCAGAACCAGAGTACCCAGTGAAGGCTTTAAGACCTGGAAAGACGTCTTTTGGAACTAGTTAATTTGCAAATTGTATTAATTAACTCAGGAGTGCCACCCTATTGTTTCTCAAGTAAGGGCTTGTTTTCCGAAGTTAATGAATGACCAACAGGTCTGTAAATTTGACTCGCACATCTTTTGTGATTCAAAGTACAACTTGAAGCATAATCTAGTCAAGATGCCTTCAGCACATGAACCCTCTGAGGGGCCTCTATTTATTAAGTTTCAAGGATTTCTTTCATCAGAGTATCTGTTCTATCCTTAAAATTGTCCCTTCACAGAGTTCTTACAAAAGTCCCAGCATCACAGATTCCCAGCTTTCAGAATCTTGTTTGCTGTCCATTTTAGCTCCCCAACAGCAGGACCAGTCACAAGAAATGTTTTCTGGGGATGTAATCCTCTGATATTTGGAAGAAGAACCTTTGTTCTTTGTTATTTCCACTGTAAACTATCATGTTATATTATTAGTTGGATGAACCAGCTGTGACTTTGTTTTCAAATGTCACCTGCAAGTGATATCTTGCCTTCAATTTTTGAGGGTGTCCTTTGTAAAATGTGACCTTTGGGAGTTAACACCATTTTCTGGACAGAGGATTTTTTTTTTTTTTTTTTGGGATAAACTGGGAATGGGGAAAAACTGATCAAAATAAGGGAGTAAAGACTTGCAGAACCAATGTTTAAGTAAAGACTAGCAGGAATAACTCATCCCCAGCTATGGGAAGCTGAGATGGCTGACCCTCTTCTGTTGTGTATGTAATCTTTCAGGTTGCAATTCCCCCAGCTGGCCCTGCGGCGAAGGTTGGGCCAGCTAAGCTGTATGTCTAGGCCTGCTCTGAAACTCCGTTCTTGGCCTCTGACTATTCTCTATTACCTTCTGCCTTTCGGTGCTCTTAAACCCTTGACCAGAGTGGGATGGAGGCCTATGAGCAGGGTAAGTGTGAGCAGGTCTCTCTTGCGCTTCGTGTGTGTTGGCTGTTTTACACCCCAGGGAGGCGGCGGCAGCGGGGTGGAGAGATGGTCTGTGTAGGAGAGGCTGATGGTCCCTGGTATGAAAGCAGAGGGATGCAGTTCATGTTTCCTTTTAGGTTTTACTGTTCATAGTTGTGTTGATTAATTGCTTCACAGAGAAATGGGGTTTTTTCAGTAGCAGAGAATTTTTGTCCTCTTAACGGTCACCTTGAAGTACCAGGGCTAGGAGAAGGCACAGCAAACAGCTTCTCCAGTGCCCTTTCCTGGCCACGCTGAAACAGACTCTTGCTTTCTGTCATTTTTGCACACAGGGGGCTTGTTCCTCACGTTCTTTGAGCGTTTGTAATCCAGCCTGCCCAAACGATATGCAAATCTCTGCTCTGACCCTGCTGAGAGCAGGGTGGAGGAAGCCTCCCACGCAGATATCCCCTGCAGGCCTGCCATTTCAGACTGCAACCACCACACAAGTATTTTGATTGAAAACTGCAACAAAATTGCCCTTCTTAAGACTTTCACTGAACAGCTGTTCCCGTTTGATCCCATCAACTTGAAAACCAGGCGCTTTTGAAGAGATGGGGCTACTAGGAAATGGCACTTTTGACGATTTTTGTGATTTTTACAGTTCTATCTGCATATTTTCAGTTTGTGGAAAACTGAGCAAAACTGATTTTAGAAATTAGCACTGTGTAAGATATCAAAACAGCAAAATGTTTTTTTTCATTCGTACTTCAGCTTATATAACTTAAGGTACTGTTCATTTACAAGTTTTTATCTGAAGTAAGATTAGGTTGGTGTTTTCTTTCTGAAATATCACTGTATTTTAACATGTTGCGGGGTGGTGATTTGTGAGTGACATCTTAATTTGCTGTATTTGATAGGATGGACAGGCTCTCAGCCAGCGTGTGCTTCTGTGTTTATGGCTGTATTTTGCAAGATTTAATTATGAAGGACATGAATATAGAGAATAAATGATGACTCTCACTAAGAAAAAAACCCACAAAACCATCAGCTTTTAGTCGGGAGTTAAATGTAGCTGAGCTGTACTGTTCCAAAAACTGTACCAGATTCAGCAGAATTTTGTGAAACTATTTTCGGAGGGTTCAGTTCCCTTATTCCCCAGCTCCTCAATCCCCCCAGTTACATCATGGTCCTGTGAGCTTTTTGGCTGATGCTACCAGAGGAGTCACAGGCTGGAGTTGCCAACAGGAAGACGCTCATCTGTCCAGTTAGATCAAGAGCACATGCAAATATTTTACCAACATTGTTTCATTTGTTTTTCTTGCTACTAAAACTTACACGTTGGTATAAGTCCAAGGGTATATTTCTACAGGAATAAAGGCACTTTATATACTCTTGCAATTAGCAACTCCTGTTGTTGTGAGAGAAGAAGTAAGGCTCGCTACTAAAACTTACACGTTGGTATGAGTCCAAGGGTATATTTCTACAGTAATAAAGGCACTTTATACTCTTGCAATTAGCAACTCCTGTTGTTGTGAGAGAAGTAAGGCTGGTGTAAGTTTACACAGGTGTAGCTGCATCCCCGTGGGTGTGTTTCTTCGACTGTTCTGGTAACATCACAGCAGTACAATACTGGCATGTGGAAGAAAACCCTCATTAGTAGATGCATCTGAGAAGCACATCATCAAACACTGAGAAATAATTGTTTTCTGATAATTCTCATGTGGTTATTCACAAAAATGTATATATTGGTAATATTAAACCCTTCTGATGAGTCTGCTACTAGAATACGTAAAATGTGTCTTTTTTTCTGTAAGCCTCACAGTGGGAAGTTAAAAGTAACTTGAACGTAGAGCTTCAGCCTGCAGAAGTTGGAGATTCTGGCTTCAGTGTAAGGTTATAGTGTGTTTCATCCTGTCCCTCCCTCGTCTGCTCTCATCAGAATGGAGGAAGGGGGGATTGAGACCAGTGTTGGCTTTTTTTTTTATGACTTTAAGGGCTACTCTGTGTGTGGTGTCACACACTGAATTCAAGGGAGTGGTTAACAGAACAGTTTGATCCTTTATGGAGAGCAGTAAGAGAAAGCTGTCGGTGGGAAGGATGGAATGAGGTGGTGCAATTCTTTCTTCAGGTCGCCCTGTACAAATCGGTACCAACTCGCCTGCTCTCACGAGCCTGGGGTCGCCTGAACCAGGTGGAGCTGCCCACATGGCTCCGCAAGCCCGTGTACAGCCTGTACATCTGGACCTTTGGGGTGAACATGAAGGAGGCGGCTGTTGAAGATCTGCATCACTACAGAAACCTCAGCGAGTTCTTCCGCAGGAAGCTGAAACCACAGGCACGGCCGGTCTGCTGCCTGCACAGCGTGGTGAGAGAGAGGAAATGAAGGCTTTACACTCCCAGCTTCCCCCACCCCACAGGAACGGGTCTGCTTCATTAGAAATGAATGAATCCCTAATGTGTTTCTTTTTTTTTCCTCTTCGCTGTAGATTAGTCCCTCTGATGGAAAGATCCTTAATTTTGGACAGGTGAAAAACTGTGAAGTAGAGCAAGTAAAAGGGGTTACTTATTCTCTGGAGTCTTTCCTGGGACCTCGCATCTGCACAGAGGAACTGCATTTTAGCCAGGGTAAGTTCTGCATTTATTCTGCTCTGCCCTCTCGGTGTTCTCAGAGAACAAGAGAAAAGAGATTACTTCTCTCTTTTTCTTTTTTCTTTCTTTCTTTCTCACATAGTCAGGAACAAAAGCGGGTCTGACTTCTGTTTTGTCTTATTTGAGGATAAATGTGTCCCTGTTCTAGTTCTTCCCTTTCTCACCAGCACGTTTATACTCTCTTGTCTGGCTCATTCTGATTATCTGAATTTAATTGCTTGGTTTCTACAATTGACTCTGAGCTCTGTCACTGTAACGAGGCTGTAGCCCTCCTGCTGCCAGACTGAAAATTGTATAAGCTGCTCCCTAACAAGTTTTATGCTCAAGCATTATTCTTCTAATGACTGGGGCTGTTACTGCTCTGCTGCTCCTCCAGCGCTGTCTGCAAGGCCTGGAGCTTTGGTGAAAGCAACATATTTCAGTATACTGGGGAGGGGACTGGAGACACTGAGTTACACAAACCAGTAGGGTTATTTTCAATGTCAGCACACATGCAGCTAATGCTTTTTTATAAAACTGAGGACTCTTCACAAATACTGTTCTTAAAAGGGTCACTTTGAGAAAAATTTTGTTCATGAAAGGGTAGCTTTAAGAAAAATTCAGTTTCACTGGATTTCAGTCTCTGCTGTTCTGTTTAGGGAAGGGTAACCTCCAAAATGAAGGAATTTCCTAAATGATTTAAACAATACAGGATCTAATTTTCTTGTAAAGGGAAAAGAATACTTTAATATTGGATTCCTGGACAAAGTGTATCTTTTTGTAGTCCCAACAAAACATGTGGACTGCATTTAGTCCTCTGCTGGGACCATTGGTTCTAACATGGACTGCTCAGCAGTAGGTCACTGTGAGAAGAGTATCTCCAACCCCTTTCTTTCCATGGTTTCTTTGCAGCCCCACCTGGTAACTCCTTTCAGCAACAACTGGTCACAAAGGAGGGCAATGAGCTCTATCACTGTGTCATCTACCTGGCGCCAGGGGATTATCACTGCTTCCACTCACCCACCGACTGGAGAGTGTCACACCGACGGCACTTCCCAGGTAGGCTCCTGTCCCTAAAAAATGAGCACAGAGCAGCTATGGAGGGGATGCTGGTATGGGCCAGTGCAGCAGTGGTATAGTTGCATGACAGAAAATGCCAGAACAGTGATTTGTCACAAACAGTAATGGATTTTATAGAATAATCTACCAGAACAAATCACATATAAATGGTGAAAACAGTAACGTTGCATTCAAGCTGTATTAGTTCTTTGAAGTAACTGTTGATACATGCTCACCTGACTTGTTCCCAAACATGATCTGTTCAGTTTGCACCTGAAATCCAGACAGTTGTGCAGATCAGAGCAAAGAGGAGCCTAAAATCTGATCTCTTCCTGTGCCTGGCAAAATGCAACTGAGCAGTTATGCTGTTGGAGCTGGGATCAGATGTTTTTGTTCCTCCTCTTTGCAGATCATGATACTCTAGTTCAGCAGGTAACAAAAAAGTGTTTTACTCCTTGGGATCTGGCAAAACCTAAGTGTTTGGATTTGGTTTCAAACACTGTGAGAGACAATGACCTGAGAAATCTGCCAAGTTCCAGACTGCAGCTAGGCCTTGGCTGAAACAAAGGAGCGTCAGTGAAAGACTGCTCTCAGATGCAATGGAGCAAAACAAATGCATTTTATAGCTAAAAATGTGTGCAGTGAATAAACTTGACTAAATTACTTTAAGGGGTATGTAAGGATTTACATTTTTGAGGTTCTTCTGTAATAAACTTGAGCTGATTCACATGATTAGTATTTCCTGGTCAGCTCTAGCTAGTTAGATACATGATTTTCAGCCACAGTGGCAGTAACCATTTTTATGCATTTCCCAAAGAGGACTGGATAAGTTAACCAAGGTGTAAAAAGTTTCTTTAGCTTCCTCTTAGTAGCCTGCACCATTTTGTTAGATGGATCTTACGTGCTTATTAGAAGGCTTCTTTCAATTTTGTCTATCAGGGCTGAGACTAGGGACTAGCCCTGCCTTTGTCCTTACCCTGATCTCTCTTAATTGTCAGATGACAATTAACAAGAGTTGTCATTTGTGAATTTGTAGAGGACACAAATGTGCCGTTGGTGGGTTACATCTTTGGTAGAGGAATAGCATTAGATAGAGTGGAAATGAGTCCCTGCCACCTGGGGTTGGTGCTAGAGGAGGAGGTAAGACTGAGGCCAGAACAAGCTTCAACAGCAGATACTTTGAAAGGGACTCACACCCCAGGATTTGTTCCCTGCTTTAACAGCAGGGTCTGGCAGTCAGTCAAGGTGAAGCTGTAGATGGGAATAAGCACCCCAGGATTTGTTCCCTACTTTAACAGCAGGGTCTCGCTGTCTGGCAATCAGTCAAGGTGAAGCTGTAGATGGGAATAAGTGAAAGCTGAGGGGGGGAAGGGAGGAGACTGAAAAGAAAGCCTGAAAAGAAGCCTGAAAAGATTTTCAGGTATGTAAAGTTAAACCCCTTGCTCTTTAACAAAGAGAACTGTAGGTGGTGTCCAGACAGCGCTCAAGCCTTACAATGAAGGATGAGCGTGGTCGTTAGTTTCCCTGTGATTCTGCCAGGAAAAGTGCAAAGTAACAGAAGCATTGCCCAAGAGCATTGATCTTTCTGGACAGAAGATCACCTCTTTCTATGATCCCTTTGTTTTTACTACAGCCTTGTCTTGTTGATCTTTCTGGAAAGAAGATCACCTCTTTCCGTGATCCCTTTGTTTTTACTACAGCCTTGTCTTTCCTTTGCTCTGCCTTGCGTTTGCCTCACCTCCTACAAACAGTGACAGAATTGTTTACTGGATCAGCTGCAGTTATACTGAAAATAGCACTTAGACAGCATTCCAATACTGCCCATAAACCAGACAACTTCACTTTGCCTCGCCTCCTACAGTGACAGAACAGTTTACAGGATCAGCTGCAGTTATACTGAAAATACCACTTAGACAGCACTCCAATACTGCCCATAAACCAGACAACTTCACCCAAATATTTTCTCCCTGCTGTAGGTTCCCTGATGTCTGTGAATCCTGGAGTTGCCCGCTGGATCAAGGAGCTGTTCTGCCACAATGAACGGGTTGTCCTTACGGGTGACTGGAAACACGGCTTTTTCTCCTTAACAGCTGTGGGAGCAACAAACGTGGGCTCCATCCGTATCTACTTCGACCGGGTGAGCAAGAGGGGTAGCAGTAGGCAGCTTTCTGGGGTTGGTGGTTGAGGTTGGTACAATATAATCAAAGAAATTTACCAAAACAATTTAAAAATCTTTTAAATTTAAAAATTTAAAAATCTTAATTATCTTAAGAAAGATTTAAAAATCTTTCTTAATAAGAAAAATTAAGGTGTTTCACAATCCTGATGTTCTAAGATTGATTTAAATGGAGTCATCTCCAGTGTAGACTATTTTTTTGATATTCCTGTTGCACTTTTGAATTGTAAATGAAGTTCCTGCATTGAAAATGTCTGGATATCCACAGCCTCCAGCTGTGCTAATGAATACGGAGTCCTGAAATCCTCAAGTAACAGGTTCTTCCTTCTCTGTACAGGACCTGCACACCAACAGTCCACGCTACTCTAAAGGTTCCTACAATGACTTCAGCTTCATAACCAACAACAACAAGGAGGGAATCCCCATGAGGAAAGGGGAACATTTAGGAGAATTTAACTTAGGCTCCACGATCGTACTGATCTTTGAGGCACCCAAGGACTTCAAATTCCACCTCAAAGCCGGACAGAAAATCCGCTTTGGCGAAGCACTGGGCTCTCTATAGAAACTCTCTCAGCAAGAACCTTTTCTATACAAAGGGACTCTTATCACACCACTGAGTGTTTCACTTCACAAGTTATGTATCACTCAGCAGGACCTGGGTGAGGAAAACAGAAGATGTCATTGCTATATTAAACTTGAGAGTATTTGGTCTCCGTGTCCATGCTGCTGAACGCAGAAAGAGAACTGAAAGATCATGTATGTATCAGGTACAGCTGCCTTTAAAGATGTTGAATATGGAGGTTTCTGTCCCACCCTGTGCCTGTAGTCAGTCTTTCATGTTCTCCCCTCACTGTGCCACAGGATAATTATGTTCTTAGAGCCTGCAGGTCCCTTTTTAAGCCTTCCCAGGCTGTGCAGGGCAGAGGTGGAGATTGGCTGTATTTAAAGGGACACAGGCTGAATCAGTCACTGCACCTTACAGCCCCAATATCTGTTTTTCAGACCTTGAGTAAAGAATGTGTTCTCATATTTATTTTATTCTAAGAGCCCCTGCTGAGGTTCTTATATAAAGGCAGTCTGTGAATGTTTAATGCGCTTTACATATTAAATGGGCTAATACAGATTCACACTCCAAACTGAGCAAAATGTACCAGAGACAGCATCTGTACGATAAATGACACACACAGCTTTTCTACTTTAATTATTTTACCTGACACTGTCCTTCAAAAACAGACTCTGCACTGTATTTTAAACCTGAAAACATTGTGTCTACATTCCATGTGATGAAACTGGTCATCCTGGGATTGTCTTTAAAAAAAAAAAAAAAGGCTGACAAAGCTGTGTGTCCTGTTCCTTATCCATGGTTTTATCCTGCTATTCCAGGCCTTAAAAGATTTTGTTTGTAATAGAGACAGTTACTTCACCTCTTGAATTAAGGGGTTAGAAGACATAGGGAATGTTTTCCTTTGTGGGATGCAATGAGATGGCAGCCAAAATAGATTTTGACTTGCTGGTATGTATCTATTTTCTTTGTTGCTTTGTCACTAAATTCTTGAAGAATTAATTCCTCTATTTACAGAACAGTTTCAGATACTTCAGGACCAATTTTTATGGCACAGAGTGAAATGCCCTATGCACTGACTGTGTATAAAACTTACGGATCTTGGAAGCAATCCCAAGTTGCCTCCCAGGTGCCAACCTGGCCCTCCTATAGCAGACTGGCAACAATTTCATCTTATTTAAAAGATAAAAAAACCCCTGCTCTGACTTCTGCCCCTGTACATAACACTAGGATTGTGCTGGGGGCTGAAAGCTCTATGCTGAAGCTTCATCCTACAGCAAAACTTTTGAGCTTCTTTTTAGCTTCATGTCAATAATTAAAGTCTTAACACCTTGGATTTGTTGGATGTGGCACTACACGGCACTGACAGAAACTGGTGCCAAAGTGAAGGCAGTTTTAAGTTTTGAATTAAGTTTTAAAGCAATGTATCAATTGTTTTTAGAGAATAAACTGTTTCAAGACCAGGCACTCAAACATTTAGAACTGACTTTGCTGTCCAGAGCTTGTTGGAGTGGATATGCTTATGAAACCTGCCTTTCTGCTCTGCTCTCTGAAAGATTTCTCATATTATTTCCTTGCTTGAGCCTTGGGTGTTTTTTTTCTGCTACTGCAAGGAGATGGTAGGCTTTGACCAGCTCTGATTTCCTAAAGAAAAACTTTATCTTCTTTGTATGCACTGCAGAAAATAGAATATAATTTTGTTGTACAAATGTCCAGTTTGCCAAGTCCTGTATGCTTAGCTTGTCATTGGGAAAGAAGGGATGATAAACTGCCTGTAAGTGACGTAGCCCAGCCATGACTCAGGTGATAATGGCTGTTGGGGTGACAAGCAGGAGGAAATTCATTTGGCTCCAAGAGTCAATGTTTCCCCACTTTACACAGTGGAGGAGTTTGAAAGCTTGAAGTGGCTCAGCCACCTTTCTTGTAAAACTTCTTGGCATTAGCAAGTTCACTCCTGCAGCAGTATATTACCATATAGAGATTATAGAAACCTGCACTTTTTTTAAACCATTAAGAGTGAGAATAGATGAAGGCAAACATCAACCCCAAGAGGAAAAAGCTGTGACTAGACTTTTGACTAAACTTCAATGTCACCTTAACAGCAGAAACAAATTTGTTCCAGTGGATGAGAGAAAAGACTGAACCTTTCCCCCCTTTTCCACTGGGGCCTGTTGTGTCCAGACGCAGCCAAAGCAACTTCAAGCTTTAATTTCTTCCTACCCAGCATCATCATCCACAGTATCTGAAGGTCACTGTTAGCCTAGTAACAGAGGAGAGGTTACCCGATGTTTGCTTTATCAGAAATCTGAGGAGGAGAGGATTCAGCATGTAAGTGGATGGTTTTGTGATGGTCTTAATACTGTGCAGAGCTAGCTGATTAACAAACATTAATTTGTTACGCAGTGGAAGTGAAAGCAGAGTTCCTAGAGGGTACTGATAATGCTGTGAATTTCTCCTGCACGGAGAATCCATTTAATTCAACTGTATCAGTAGCATGGTATTTTTGTACGTCAAAGTGTATGACTTACTGACATGAACTCATTTAATTGCAAACATTTTGAAATAAAGAGTCTTATTGGTGTTGCTTATCTTTCTGATATGCCAGGGTCACCTAAACTAGGTATTGGGAGTGCAGCATGAGGTATATTTAGCTCTGTTTGGTTCGGGTTTTAACCAGCTGTAGTAACAAAATAAAACAAACAAAAATATTTAAATTAATTTATAAAGTAGAAGTGCCATACATAGACTAAGAGAATATATACATCACTTCCATCCTCCCCTGGTACAAAAGGGGCGAAATATCCTACCAGTGAGCTGGAAAGTAGACTCAGCTGCATTATATGTCCAGAGCAATCTGGATGTCACGCAGGCGGGCAACCAGGTTCTGCACGTGGTGTCTCTCCTGTAGTTGTGCTTTGGTGAGAGTGTTGATCCTCACCTGTAACTGAAAGGGAAGGCAGCATTTAGTCTTTCTGACCAAGGAAGAGTGGGTGAGCTCCAGCAGCCTTTATATTATCCCACTTAAAAAGCATTACTGGGGAGTCAGCCACGTACTGGCTCACATTAGAGGTACTGGTGCAGTTCCCCCAGACGTGGCGGCACGAGCCTGGGGACAGAGCAGTGTGCTTATGGTCAGTGTGGTGTAGCTACACCCTCATGGGAAATTGCAGGAAAAAAACCTGAGATTGAATCTCCTAAAGCCTTCAGCATAGCCCAGAAATAGCCTTAGAAAGGTCTATTGGAGTGGGAATTGCATCTTCCCATTTGTTCAGAAGTGTAGCTACACAGCAGCCTGTTCTGCTCGACAGCCCACTTCCCATTACAAGTTTCCCTTCTCTGGGTGTTTTAATTACAGCTTGCTATGTAATTCCTCACACCTACCATCAGGCTAAGTGCATAACAGTGATAATCGCTTCAGTAATTGCAATTTGTTTGCTATTTACACACCTGATCCAACTCTTCCCGAGCTCCTTGTACCCCATCATCTCGGTCCTCTGGTTGTGTGCTCATTTCCAGCCACTTCTGCAGAATCTGTGCCTGCTGCTGACAGGACCTGATAAAATGGATTAGAAGGATTCTTATCCCAATTAGAAGCTCAACAGTCTAAGCCAACTTACATTTGCAATCGATACTTGCAGTAAGATCCATTTATTTTTTTTTGTCTCAAACTGCTGAATGGTAAAAGTCTTTAAAAAGAAATAGGGCTGAAAACTGTTGTCTCCATTTTCTACTCCTAGTTCTTGACTTCGTTTCCTGACATTTGAATCCCCTGAAAGACCCCATTTTCTTTTAAGCATTTTTGTAGATGTTGTCTTGTTCTAGTAGAGAAGTTGTCAAACCCCAGCCATTTTTTTTTAATTGGCAGCTCGAAAAGCTAAGTCTTCACTCATGATAAAAGAACTAAAAGCTAAATTTCAGCTTCTCTGCCAAGTTCCTTTGTTCTGCCTTCAGATTACACCCCGTGATACCTTTGCTGGGCTTTCTCCAAGAGCTGCCAAAGGTATGATTAAACCACTTACTGACTACAAAAGAATAAGCACATGTACTCTCCAACCTGAAGTGAAGTCTTAAAAGGAGAAAATCTCTAGAACATTTCTGTCTTTCATTCAAAGTTCTGCTGTGAACAGACTGGCTATTTTGAAAGTAGATAAATACCAAAAAATGCAATATTGAGTTGACAGCATGAAGAAAGGCTGGCTAAAGCGGCTTTGCAACAGACCTGAGTTCCTGCTTCCTGCTGAAGTAGTACTGCATCTGCTGCTGGATGTGTCGCAGCTCAACTTCCAGCTTTCTCTGCAACACCATTTCTTCTCTGGAACCGTGTTCTCCTTCTCCCCCTTCAGCTGGAAGGAAGACACAAGGCAGTGGATGTAGAGGAAACAACTGTTTCAAACTGCTGTTTCTTCTTGTTAAGGAAAGCCAGGTTAGCAGAACAGAAACACAGAACCCTCCCGAGTCCTTTTTCACACATTTTGTCACCCTGTGACATAGACCTATTCACCCAAGAGGTCGGGTACCATGAGAGGGTGGGAGTCCTGACAGCATTACAACTGAACTCAGTTTAAATACACAAAAAAAGAAAAGAAATGCTCCAGTGAATTGCTTAGTCCTACAAACACTGTTTTGGCCTATTGATGGTTTAGAGTTTTACATCTAGTCTAGAAGTAGTAAGTCTTGTCCCATGGAACGCAAATACCATTAAAAACACTGCATTGAGAAGTGCTTAGGCACCATCCATCCCCTTTACAACCATACTGTAACTACAGTTACTGTGTTACATCCCGAAAAGGAGCGACTGATACTCTTCACCTCCTGATGCAGGTGTGCAAGACTCCCTTCTCTCCCTTACGTTTTGTGGAGCTGACTTGCACATACTGGAGGAGGACACACAACAGCTGTAGTTTAGATCTGAAGACCTACCCGCAGTTTGGTGACTCCATTTTTCCACCAAGTCCTCAGGTAACAGCAAATGTGGCTGCAAGTTTGGTCGCAACTTCTCCACAGACTCCAGTTGAAAGTCTTGGGCTCCCTGGCGAGCACTCACAGGCTGATCTCTCTGCAACGTCAGAATGATACTGGGTTTTCCTCAAAGGGTTTTCTTGAGTAAGCCCCACAAGGAGGATGCACCTGACGTACTAAGCCCTGCTCCCACTCAGACACCCCCTGTAGTCACTGAGCCCTCTCATAAAATATCACAGAAGCAGCAGAGCGTAAGAAATGGGCTTTTTCATTTCTAGCATGGAGATGTTTCATCAAGCTGAACACCTCCCATTCTGCACGGAACAGAGGAGTTTAAAATGCAAGCACCTGCTTGTAGGTGAAGCAAATTTCAATTTTGGGGACTCTCAGCCGCAGCTACTAAACTGAGTTACTCTTGAATCCCTGGTTGGCAAACTGTAGCTGCTCTGAACTCTTTGAAGGAGCAGCACTCTCAAGTCAATTGCCAGGAAAAGCATCCTGCTAGGAAGGCCATGAGACCAGGAAAAAAAGGCATTTATTACAGTACAACACACATGGGGGTTGGTCAGCTACTGAAACACTGCCTCAGACTGGTGGTGAACAGTTCTTGGGCATTCAGAGCCAGTTAACTGAGTCAGCTTTTAAGATGATAGATAGCTAGAACAAGAGAAGAACAGCTCAACAGTCCAAAGGAGCCCCAGGAAAAGCCAGCGATAAGCAGCACACATACTGACAGTAGCCCAGTAAACACACTGATTTTTCCTTCAGCGACACACTCACCATTTCTGCTCCAGCTTTTATTTGGGGCATGAAGGATGAAGGAGAACGTAGCTCTGGCCTCTGGACAGCACGGCCCACATCATGTGTCCACAGAGGTCCAGAGGGGAGAGCAGCGGGTGAGAGAAGTGGATGGGAACGAGTGGCACTGCCCATTTGAGATACACATTTACAGGTACTTTCTTCCGTTTGAAGTGTTGGCATTAAGCTCCCCCTCTGCACAGAACTTTTGTCCACAGATGTTTGCTGGAAGGGTGCCTCTGATCTGTAAAGGGAGAAGGATGAGGTCCCTGTACATTGCAACCTGTTGGTCTCACCCTTTGCAGTCAGTGCAAAAAGAGGGAGAATCTTGTTATTCCCTTGCATACAGATATACAGTGAGCTGTTTTACTAAGCAAGGGAAACCCCAATTAAAAAAAAAAAAAAAAAAGTCGTTATTCCCTTGCATACAGATATCCAGTGAGCTGCTTTACTAAGCAGGGGAAACCCCAATTAAAAAAGAACAAAAAAAAATTAGAAAAACACCACAGTGGTTTAAAAAAAAATAAAAAAGCAGCAAAACAGTTATGGTTTCCATTACTCCTACCTGCCCTGCTCCAACCACAGTGGTTTAAAAAAAATAAAAAAGCAGCAAAACAATTATGGTTTCCATTACTCCTACCTGCCCTGCTCCAAATCCTCCACGTTAATCCAGGCTGAAACAATTTCTTTAGGGCTGTGAATTCTACCCATTAATAAAATCCTGCCTTATTTTGGTTTGGGGACAAGAGAAAGAGGGGAGCAGAAGCAGCGATCTCAGCTAGGTTTTGACAGGAAATGGACAGATGTTTGGTCCTGGCTCTGCACTACCAGAATCGCTAACAATTCCCCAGCACATTAGTTAAATCCAGACCTGAACCTGTTGTGGAACAAGTGATCTATGAGCCAAAAGCATCCTGCACAACTCAAACTTCTGAGTTTATATGGCAAGATTGACAGAGGAAACTTTTTAATTAATTTTGGAAATAAGTCATGTGCCCTATCTTTTCCTCAAATCCTGATGGCAAGACTGACAGAAAAGGAAACTTTTTAATTAATTTTGGAAATAAGTCATGTGCCCTATCTTTTCCTCAAATCCTCTCACTAACAAAACAAAGCCCTTGGTTGCTATTTGCTTGCAGAACTAAATGTTCTGCGTTATGAAGGTGAGGGGATTTGAGGGGATAAGCATAGCACAAGGCCCACTGTAAGCCACTCTCTTTTTCTTTACTTTTTAAAACAGATTTTCTACCTTGTAAAAGGAGGTCCCAGCAGTTCCTTGCTTTCTAGAGATTCCAGAAGGAAGTCAGGCCTTCGCGGTGGTAACCTTGCTCGTCGAATAGCATTTCTGGAAAGGACAAACAGAATCAATAATGCCCTAGATTCAGGATTATTTTAAACTGGCATAAGCTGGCACTGCAGCTGAAGAGCCAGTCCTATTCCATCAATTCGTCCCTGCTCTGCAGTGTTCCCCTTGCATACAATAATAGTCTTTAAAGTTTAAATTCCAACAGTCCTACTCCATCATTTGTCCCTGCTCTACAGTGTTCCTCTTGCATACAATAATAGTCTTTAAAGTTTAAATTCCAAACACAACATCACAATCCGGTTCACCGTATGACTGACTGTGCCAACACAAGGAGTGGTGGAAAGGAAAGAACTGGACGAGGCAGAGCTACTTTTGGCAGCACACGTGAGCTTAGAGAAACATGAAGCTGTCACCTTATTTCCCTGTCAGGCTCCTGTCCTGAACTGAGAATCTCCATGGAAGATTCTTCCTTGCAATTGCCCCATGATCAGTACAAAATTTTTAAGGAATACCTTCCCCAGGGGAAAGAAAGAGCCAAGAAGAAAGTTCAGTTTCTACACAGCCAGGATTTTGATGTTTATTATTTCACCAGACCCTACACATGACTTCAGTGAAAAAAAGGCGCTTCAGTGACCACGATGGGTCACTTGGGCAAGACAAGCTCTCATGACAGTACAACTCCCATCACATACATCTTTCAAATGTTTCTCTGTGTAACTGTTCTATTGAAAATGACCAACACTCCATGAATTCATAGTTCTGTATTGAGAAACACATAGTAGGAAAGCATGTAGCTGAGCTGATTCTCCCTGTCACTGACATGTAACTGTAAAGTCACAATTTCTTTCACTATTTGTGTGCTGTGTTATGCAGCAGCTCTTGTGTAACTGCAACGCCCACCATGGGATGCATGGTCAGAGTTACAGAAACTACATGGAACTAACATTAATCAGTGTGAGAAGCTGGAAACACAAAAGAGAAAAGCAGACAGATGGACTGCACATACACAAAACTACATATATGCCAGAAAAATGCAGAAGGGACTAGAACTTCACACTCACAGATGACTGAGAATTGAGTCCCCATCAGCAAGGTGAAATGGTAGACGACTGCATTTGGAAGGCCACAGCTCCTCCTCTGCTGGACATCCTCTCGTCTCGGGGCTTACATCAGGCATTTTAAATGTCACTTGCTTCTTCAGAGGTAGCAGAAAAGAACACGGCTTATTTAATTTCTTGGAGAGCGCCTTCTGTTTCAACAGCATGGCACAACGATACACTGACTGGTGGGGCTGTAGCTGCCTGCCAACACAACCAGGAGAGCACTGGACAGCTGGGAGGAGGAAGCAATACCATGCTACCCAGGGAGAAGAACACCACAAAAAGGAACTGAGACTTCTGATGACCTCACAGCTGTACCAGCTCTCTAAGCTAAATTGGCAGGTCCACTGTGGTAAGGTAACTTTTGGGTAAAGAGAATAAACTGGATACTTCTCCAGTGAGGCAGGCTGCATATTAGCAAACAGAACTACCAGCGTCTTGAAAGCCTGAAAAAAGAGCTGGGAAAGCTGCCCAGGAGCAGGAAGACATTAGCAAACAGAACTACCAGTGTCTTGAAAGCCTGAAAAAGAGCTGGGAGAGCTGCCCAGGAGCAGGAAGAGAGCAACCAATACAGCCATCCCAATCTTGCTTTCCACACACAGGGCTGGGCTGGTACTCAAAGGGAGAAGTGACATTAGGCCACAATCAAACATGTAAGTGGCACTAAAGCTAAGACAATATTAGACACAGCCTCTAATGCTTCATTCTAGCACAGAATTCGGAGACCAAACTCCAGCCACATGCAAAGGTTTCATCCAGCAATATTGCCTACAGCAGGAATTGGCCAGTTATGAAATAGCTTCATTAAGAAAGATTCCCAATTAGCAACACAAGTCTGAAGTGCTCTAGTCTCAGCTGACTGAAAGTGACAGGGCAGCTTTGCTTTGAATCACAGGCAAAAGCCTGTCAGATCCAAACAGGAGCTGAGATGTAGGGCTCCAAGATACACACACATACAAACACACACACACAGAGCAAAGCAACTTGGGATGTATCTGAATAGTCATTTGTCTCTTTCACCTTCAGCTGGTGCTGGGCTTGGAGCTCTCCCTGCAACTGTTTCATGCCAGCGCTGCATCTCAATACAGCCATCCTGATCTTGCTTTCCACACACAGGGCTGGGCTGGTGCTCAAAGGGAGAAGTGACACTAGGCCACAATCAAACATGTAAGTGGCACTAAAGCTAAGACAATATTAGACACAGCCTCTAATGCTTCATTCTAGCACCGTATTAGCAAACAGAACTACCAGCGTCTTGAAAGCCTGAAAAAAGAGCTGGGAAAGCTGCCCAGGAGCAGGAAGAGAGCAACCAATACAGCCATCCTGATCTTGCTTTCCACACACAGGGCTGGGCTGGTGCTCAAAGGGAGAAGTGACACTAGGCCACAATCAAACATGTAAGTGGCACTAAAGCTAAGACAATATTAGACACAGCCTCTAATGCTTCATTCTAGCACAGAATTCGGAGACCAGACCCCAGCCACATGCAAAGGTTTCATCCAGCAATATTGCCTACAGCAGGAATTGGCCAGTTATGAAATAGCTTCATTAAGAAAGATTCCCAATTAGCAACACAAGTCTGAAGTGCTCTAGTCTCAGCTGACTGAAAGTGACAGGGCAGCTTTGCTTTGAATCACAGGCAAAAGCCTGTCAGATCCAAACAGGAGCTGAGATGTAGGGCTCCAAGATACACACACATACAAACACACACACACAGAGCAAAGCAACTTGGGATGTATCTGAATAGTCATTTGTCTCTTTCACCTTCAGCTGGTGCTGGGCTTGGAGCTCTCCCTGCAACTGTTTCATGCCAGCGCTCCATCTCAAGGCCTGGGTCACACCTTCTCTTGGATGAAGAGTGTGGTAAAATCCTGTGGCTTTTTCAATGCAACGAGATGTAGGGCTCCAAGATACACACACACACACACACAAACACACACACCCAATCTTTCTTCTGCTGCTGCCTCTTGGCAAATCCGAGCCAAGCATCAAACACCTACAACGGGAAGAGAGAGCTGTGAATGCTACAGAGACAGGTTCTGGGCCAGGGACTCCCCCTGCAGACAGGATGGCTTTCCCTGCCCCTGGATAGCAACAGGCAGAGCTACAGCAACAGCAGGACACTGCCCCAAGGACAAAGGGACAGGGATTTAAGTCAGCCGAGGCTGGATGAGGAAAAACATGTGCAAATTTTTTAATCGGGTAAGAGGATTTGGGGACAGTTTTGCAGCCTCCTAAAATACAGCACCCCAAAGATGAAAGGAAAGCAGATATTCAGTGTGCACTCTGCTGACTGCACATCAGCAAATTCACCTGTCTGCCCCTGAACCCCCACCCCCTTACCTTCCTCTGCAATGAACGGGACCAGTGCCACAGCGCCTGCACCGTCTTCTGCTTCTCCCACCGCCGCTGCAACAGCTATCAGACAAAACCAAAAATGGCACAGCAACCAGGTTAGGAGTTCATGTCCCACACCAGAAACACTGGCCAAACAGCACCATCCAGACAGGAAGTGCTGGTGGAGCCACAGCAGAATAACCTGCTGGGTTCACCCAGTATACGGCAAGGTGTCTTTTGCGCTAGTGGAACCAAAAATCCAGAAAATGTTTAAATAAGTTTATTTGGTCCTCATGTGCAAATGGAATATGAAGGAGAAGATGGAATAAGGATCAGGAAGGAGCTAGATACCTACCCAGGGCACAATTCCTTACCCGTGTCTTCCAGCAAGAGAAGGAAGCAGAGCAAAGTCTACGTGCCATGAGCTGATCTCCCTGTCTCCGCAGCAGCTGTAAGGCAACAGAACAGTGAGTCACTCACAAACAAACCCCACTTATCTGAGCAGAACGGGCAAACAGCCTTTATCACCTTCCCTTTGTTCTGTTGAGGCCACTCTCAATACCTAAATGCCCTGCCATGTAACCCCGAGTTGCAAATATCTGTAAGCCCAGCCAGGATTCCATTAAACGATCCCACGCATGGCCAAGCCCAGCTTCTCCTCTCTTTTAAAGTCTACTAGTTCTATCAAAGCTTCTTCAGGCAAGACACAGGCACGTTCCTTCCTCCTCAAAGCACAAGGCTGTCATGCTCCTCCTCAGCCAAGACTACCATTCCCTTCACCAAGTGACGTGGCCTGCTCCTCCACACCTTCCCACCCGGTGTCGCTGGCTGGGGAGGCTGCTGATCCTTCTCACCATCTTCCCAAGGCACCACTGATGATATTTCTTCCATTTCACCAGGGACTTCTGGAGTAGGTGCCGCTGGTGGTGCTGTATGGCCACGTGCTGCTGAGCCCTCAGCATCAGAGACTCCCTAGTTAAGTCCTTCCAGTGAAGAAACAGGGTCTGTAAATGCACTGTGAGGAGAAGATAAATTAACTAATGTACCAAAAGGAGACTATTAATCTCAGAGACTACCACATGATCAGCTGCTCTTCCAGACAGTTTAAGCAATACTTAACACTGACAATACTCAGCACCGACATTACTCATCACTAGGAAGGATTGTGAAACACCTCAGGTAACAGACAGTGAGGTGTGAGTGGCAAGTCTTTCCCTGCTGCCACCGACATCTTTTATAATCTTTTAGGAAATTATTTGCCCCCTTTATGCTTCAGAATCCTTATGTTGAGAACATGGTTGGTACCATGAAAATGCTTGCTGACTTTTAGAGCCTTTTTTGGTACTAATTACTAAAGAAAGATTGAAAAGATTACTTGCACTGCCCTCAAAACAGAGACATCTGAGCCTCTCAAAATTAGTATTGGAAAACTCCTTTAAGAAATACTACCATCCCTTGTACAGACAAGGCACCAACAGAGAAGCACAAGCCACACGAGCAGCCTTCAACAGAGCACTGGAGTCCCAGGTGATTCCCCATTCTATAGGGATGTCCTTTGTAGGCTTAATAGACCATTCAATCATTCCATCTGTACAGATAACACCAGACTGCCCTACTGAGCCACATCTTTCTAAGGATCATACACACATAACTAAGTCTTTTGAGAGTTTAATCTCTCCACCAGCTCACCTATATCCAAATGTTTTCTGGCCTCCATCACAACGATCACCTTTTGCTGACGGTAACGCACTTGTAGCGAGGCAGCATGTCTCCACTGCAGCAACACCTAAAGATAGAACACAAACAAGAGACAATACAGACTGACATTGCAACACTCTTTGGAAGAGGAAGCAAGGTACTCCACATTGCTGGCACCATAACCATTTCCATCTCAGTTTCCACATAAGGCTGAGCAAAAGAATGCAAATTTTCTACAAATTAAACACATCAGCATTTCAGAGGGTCACCTTCTGTCCCTCTGTCTGCCCATCTGCCCCCTCCCTCACCAGGTAATCCTACTGTGCTGTATCATACTACTGGTTCTCCCTTCCTTCTAGGAAATGGGGAGAAAGAAAGGAAGAGGAAAAACCATGAACTAACTCAGAAACATGTGTGAAAAGAAGGTGAGACTCCCACTTTTTAGGCCTTTCTTAGTAGTGGCTCTTATATGAAGTCTTCGGTCCTTCTAATTGCATTACCTGACCCCTGCCAGAACCAGCATCTGTACTTAGACCTTGGGATCTGCTCCACAGACCCTACCTTTGAGAGGATGGCTCTCCTGTAGTGCTCATCTGCCCGAGCAGCTGCCTTAGCTTCACTTATAAGAGCACGGGCATTTTCTCTCCACATACACAGAACCTGTCTGAAGGCAAAATATATAAAAAATTAAAAAACAACAAAAAACATTAAGAACGATTCTCACTTGTTCATTTGGTACCTTCCCACTCACAGGGAAACCAAGCCCATCTGCCTCTATAAACTCAGGCTTGCAAACTAACTTCTTCCCCTTCAGGTCTCTGCTGCAGAGAAGGCAGCACAAAACCACAGCACTTCCTTGAGCCCAGCATCTTAAGCACAGTCAATCCCAGGGAGAGGCTTACCCCAGCAGCAGTCTCCTGCGCTCCTCCTCCTTTTCAGCTACTTGGTATAGAATGCCCTGTATGTTATGTTGGTAACTCTGCAACAAAAGCAGCGAGAGGTAAAAGTTTTCCTCAACTGCCAACAGCTTTCAGGAGACAAGACTTCTGGCAACTCTTAGTAACATCTCAGGAGAGTAATAGCAGCAGTGGAGCATAGGGGAAAAAATGAGGTTACAGCCACTGAAATCAAATGCTGTTTTTCCAAGATGAACAGTCATTACACACTAGTTAATGCTACCTATTAGATATATCCTTCACCAAAGCCACAAGATCACATTGGTTCTTTTGCTCCAAAAAGCAATGGCAGAGATTATACAACCATATCCACAGTAGCCTCCATTCTACCTTGCACACTTGGTGCAAGAGAGAAACAGCAGCTCTTCAGTTCTCACTGAAACGCTTAAACACACACAGACAAGTGTCACAAAGAAAAGGACATTCCCTCCTACCTTCCAGGCTGCCAAGGTCTTGCCCAGCAATGTGTGCTGATAGTGCACATCTGCTCGCACCAACTTCTTCCATTTTTCATGCTGATGCCCCACATACTGTAAGGAGGAAGGGAAGAAAAAAATAATTATCTACATGCAATGGAGAGAAACCAGGCAATGGTAGACAGCAGAGGGAAGAGGATCATTCCCAGGGGAATTCTCTGGGGAAACATCAATCCTTTATCTTGCTGTAACAGGTTCTCACTCAAACTGGTGTTACAAACTTCTAACTTAAGCTAGAAGTTAGAAGTGGCACCCAACACGGGCTAGGGACAATTTCATCACACTAACTCTGGTTACATTCCCAGCTAAATCTCCTAAACTATAGTGTAGTCCCACTATACCCACACAAGTGAACAAGAAGTAAAGAACTCCCTCTCCTCCCTACACAATTCCCAGTCTGCCCACACTGAACTGGTTTTATCCACACAGAAGGGTAGGAGAGCAGAGGAATGACTAGTGTGTAAAATAAACAATTTAATTTCTAGCCAGATGGGTACAAGCAATCTGAACATAACAAAAAGGATTCAAGCTCCTTCCCATCTGTTAACTCTCTCACCTCCCTCCACTTGTTCCAACTCTGCTGCAGACACTTTGAGCAGTGAAATCTTAAGGCTTGCATCTCCTTGAGCCTCCTGTAAGAAAAATAATTTAATTATTTGTCCTACAACACAAACCGTGTTATTGAACCCCTGTAGCACAGATGTGAGTTCACACCTGCCATTTTCAGCAAGTCATGTACTGAAGACAAATTAGGAGATTCTAAAGCACAAATAAGGAGTCAGAATCACTGTGAATGAAATGCTGCTTTGTCAGAAGTTGGCCACCACAGACCAATCTAAATAATTTTCCCTTTCAAAAAAAAATTCTTACTCTGTTTTCCTCTCCTGAGTATTTTGCTTCCACAGATGGAAAGCCTTTAGCAGCAGCAGGTTATTGTAGTGGTCTCTTGCACGAGCTAAGGCCTCCTGCTCCTCCAAACAGGCAGCTCTTCTTCTACACCAAAAGGACCAGAAACAACGCAAGAGTTGCCTTTCAAAATGAAGTACAGCCTGTAATGGAAAGAAGGTGGCAATGAATTCTTGACACAAGCCAGTTACAAACAACAGAAAACAATTCCTTAAAGATGACATGCACAGAACTGTCCAGTGTCCATTTTCCTTTTCTCACATTAAACAGTAACAGACACACGTCATCAAAGCCCCTTTGCTGCAAGTTCACGTGAACTTGTTCTGCAGGTACCCATATGCACATGGATGGAGAAGCTGCTATCAGAAAACAGCAGGCCAAAGAGAGGAAAAATACAAGTTGGTAAATAGCACGTGAAAAACTCCCAAGAAGTGATAAACTCCAGAAACTAGTCCTGTTGAATACGCAAGAACTGATAATCTCAGAACACCCAGAGTCAGCCGTATCTGCACAAGGCCACCCACACACGCTGCCATCAACTGAGTTGTGTACTTCAGGCCACGTGAAAGGCAGCAGTGGCTGCTATCTACAAAGACTACAGGATTATATATACATATTAGGAAATTAAGGACTCCTTAAGGAACTTTCTGGACACCTACTAAGAAGCAACTTGTTTATCAGTACAACCCTGCACTTCTGAAATAGGCTGGGGTTGGCTCTTTATTACTATTATTGTTTCGACCAGGTAACTACGAAACTGGTGAAGTGAGAGAACACACATGGATTTACCGGGTGAGAGAATAAATGAATGAATCACATGAATAATTATCCTCTAATAATAACAGCTTGATTCTACTATTAATGAACAGCTTAACTTAAAAATGTGATTAGTAAGTACTGGTTGTACTCTCCAATTTGATCCCCCACCAGGAGAAGGGAAATTACAACACCCAAGTCCATCTCATGCTAACTGACGTTCACAGAGAGCGACTACGAAATCCTCCTCTCCACTGCCTAAGTAAGGCCCGGTACAAGAGTTGTATTTACCCTCTTCTCTTCCATTCGGTATTCCTGCTGCTTGCACACCTTCAGCCACCACGTGTCAAATACCTGTCTCATCAACACCCTCCTGCAAGCAAAAAGGGACAATGTCAGCTCAGGAAAGAATTCCTTCAGAAAAGGGATAGGTTTTATGAATGTCGAAAGACCAATCCATGTACAACTTAAATAGTTACTTATTTGGTTTTCAAATCATGCAAGCCTTCTTTGGAAATCAGGTAGCTGTGGGTCTTTGTTATTCTCTGGGTTAAAAATCCAGACAATTGTTTGTCCCCTGAAATCTTACCCAGAATATATGAGACAAGATGAATTAATTTTCTGAAGTTATTAGAACTCCCTGCTTTCATTCAGATCATTCAATAGATTGAACAACAAAAAAACCCAACCAAACAAAAAAAAAAAAAGCCAAAACAAACAAGATTGTAACAGGACTTGAAAAAAGTTATAAAAACAATAATAAAAAGCAGCGTGGTCTGATCTCAGCACTAAAGGGATCCTACCAAAGCCTTCTTTTATGAACACGGTCAGGCTAGTTGCCCTCATTATCAAAGCTGCTTTCTTGCTAGATGAAGACAGTGAGTCTGTCTCCTCCCCAGGGATGCACAAATAGTATCCCAAAAATGCAATTTAAATATATTTGTAATTGAGTACTATACATCTCTCATAAAGCAAGCACATAGCAGACACGTCCTAGTCCAGAAGTCTGAGCTACAGCCTAATGGAAATATCACCCAGTTCAAACTACATCGGTTATTTCCAGAACTCAGTCATGTGGGCGTACTAATTAGATTGTCAACAAGTCCCAGCTCTTCTCTAGTCTAAAGAGGCTTAAAAGATATTTTGGATTCTTACCAGGTAATTTTTGGTAGGTAGCTGTTACAATTTATAGGTTGGTAAACAACATGAGTGAAGTTAGTCTTCCTGGAGGGTACTGGTAGCTGCCAGGAAGAGTCTTTGATCTGTAGGCAGTCACAAACCTCAGCTGACGGCTCTTCTGGGGTATCTCCTGGATCTTACCACCACCCAGAGCAGCTGGGGCACTGACTGGTGAGGCAGCACGTATGTGTAACAGAGACCAAGAGGGAAGCTGAGTTCTGGCAAACTGCCACGAAAGTTTTACTTAGGTCTGATTGGAAAGCAGCCCCAAACCTCTGAATGAGCAACACACTTCTTAGAATTTGGCCTTTTATGTTCAGGAAACAGAATTTCATTTGTACTCTTTCTAAAGAGAAAAGATTGCACACAAAAACATTCCTGACCCATGGAATCAAGGGATGGCTACAGAACCAATGAGAGCCTTCAAACCATCTGTTCATCCCTTCCCTGGTGAGAGAGGCACAAGTTACACTGCAGCAGTTGCACGCTCCAACTCAGCTTCCCTAAGCTTAACCTCCTTCTCCCTTTTCTCCCTCCTTGTCTCCAGAGGGTAAGTGAATGCACCACAGCTGCACTCTCACACCACTTGGAAAAACTCTTAATTGCTCGCAGAAACGCAGCTGCCCTCATTACTCAGCCTGCCCTCCAAACCTATTTGTGAATCTCCCCAAAAGCAAGCCAATATCTAAGGCAGAACAGACTTTCTGCAGCTTGTTTTTCAACTGTGAAGCCAGGCTTCTGGTGACAGAAAGGTATGAATCTAGAACACAGGGTGTGACCATGCTCTGCCAGTGGAAGGTGCAAGGTCCCAAGTCTACCAGGAAAGAAGATTCAACATTGAAAACTATTTTTTCCTCTCAACTTACAAAGGAAAAAGTGTCCCAGGAGGGGACTCATTGTAAGAGCATATTTCAAAACATACCCTTTTCCAAGGAAAGCAAACTTTTTTTTTTGGTTAGTCTTCTAAAACTGAAAACAGGAAATAGGTTTTAATATTATCATAAATCATAACCCTACCTAAAGAGTCAGCCTTCAATCCATGGCTAAGAATACAAGCCCAGACAAGGCCTTTAAGGCATCTCAAAAAAGGCAAACACATAATTTTCTCTCAATCATTATTTCACCCCCTCTGATTTCCACAAACTCTTGTAACTCCTGTGCATGTCTGCGCCCCATAATATGCCAGTAAAAGTAATTAGTAAGATGTATCATTACCCTGAGACAAAGGCTAGTGGTTGAATTTTAAGAGGCAATGAGAACCCATAGCATCCATTTACATTAACAGAAAACAGAAATGCCTCTAAAGAAAAATTCCCAGTAGTTTCACTCAAATTCACCCTGTAAACTTAAATTAGCATAACTCCAACTACAGTAAAGGTTTTATTTTGGCATGATCGCAGTTGTGAAACAACCAATATTATCATTTTGAGTTCAGGTTCTTTTCCTCCAAGTTCTACATTGTTCTTGAAGACAAAATTAAAGCTTACAGGCACATCTTTATTTATTTCATTATTGAATCCCACTGTGCATATCGCAACTGACTAAGATAAGCAACCAGAATAATATTTCTTATATCTTCAGTAACCTCTAAGCAAAACCAAGGTGATCCTGATGCCAAGACATCAGGCAATTAGAGATATTTGTGCAGTAATTATGCCCTGAAAATGAAACAAGAATCAACTCTGACTCGGTACCAGGTATATCAGTAACTCTTGTTATATTAGCCTCTCAAATCAAGAAAAAATCAGTACTTAAAGCAAACTCTGCTGGGAGGATTAGAAGAAGTCAGATTGAAATTTTATTGAATAGAAGATACTGTTTAGGCCACAAGGTATTTCTCTGAGCTGTAGTAAAATTAAATGTCTTTTTGAATGCAAGCTGTGGTAATCAGAAAAAGATCATCACACGCAAGTTTGCATGGCAGAATGAAGCTTCCTTCCCTCATTACCCTGAATATCAACCAAGCAACTTTACGCGGCTCATTGCACTAATACACTAACATGGGGACATCTCAACAGGCATCATTTGATAACACCACCACAATATTGTGGTTGAAATGTTCTCAGTTTCAAATCTAGCTCCAGGATGTGAGCACTGTAGGGGAGAACGTGCTGTGCTGAATAGCACAGGCCTGTCTTGTAGAGGTCTCAGCCTCTCCTGCAAATCTTCACTCAAAAATCCACAAAGTTCTAAGGCAACAAAGTTTAGAGTATTTGCACATCCTACATTTTTGGAACCAACTGAAAGCAGCATTAAGAACCCGTAAACAGAGGAATTATAAGAATCAAATATATACCCTTTGAACTTCGTCGTAACAAACAGGTACTTCCCACCAAACTCAAACTTCAGAAATCTAACAGCCTTCGGGCTGCTTTAATGTTGACTTATTCCTAGGACTAAATAAATTTAGTGTCTACAAAAAGCCTTACCTTCACTCTTGGAGTACCTCAATCAGCAGGGGTGGCATACATGAGCTATCCCCCAGCTTGTCCCCAAAGTAAAGCAGCAGCAGCAAGTGTTTTGAGCTTTGTCGGTGCTCATGCTGCAACCCATTGCTCTTACCAGTAAAATGCTCAACTCTTAAATCTAAAGAAGCCTCAGAGCTAGGTTTAATCACTCACCCTCTCACATTTCACAGAGAAGCAGGAGATGCAAATTGCCCACTACTCACAGAAAATGTAAGAACAATTAGCATCAGGATGGTCATGCTCCCAGAAGCGTTGCCAGATTTTAAAAGGGAACCAAAGACCCACAAATCCCACAATTGTACAAATTTATATTCATATTTCTCTGCATACCTGTAACGGGCATGAGCCACTGATGTTAAGGCCTGCAGCTGTTCGTCCTCCTTCTCTTCCAAACGGGACTTCCAACGGTTCCAGAACTTCTGCAGCATCTGAAACAAAACAGAAAAAAAAACCAGAAAAAAACAGGTTGGTTTTTTTTAAGAAAAAGCACGGATATCAAGGGAGAAGAAGCATACAAAGAAAGAAATTATTTAATGTCATACTGGTTGCCTCCTGCACTGCTTCATACACCAAACTTATTTCCTGAAACAAAACAGAAAAAACCACAACAAAACAGGTTGGGTTTTTTTATGAAAAAGCACAGATATCAAGGGAGAAGCAGCATACAAAGAAAGAAATTATTAAATGTCATACTGGCTGCTTCCTGCACTGCTTCATACACCAAACTTATTTTATAAGTTCTGTTCTGTTTTATAAATTCTGTTATGAATTTTTTTGGTAGAAGAAAAAGTCACCATAAACATACAAAAACAAACTGTTATAACAGAACGTATCTAAGACTGATAGTTGACTTACACAAAAGATTTTCTGTTGCCATTAGTATTTAGGAACAAAGCGGCCACTGATTTAATAAAAAAGTATTTTGTAGGTGAAAGTGGAAGCAAACAGAACAGCTAAAGAAAAACTAATACAAGAACAACAAAAGTCAAACTCACTGTAACTTGGTGCTGACGATACGAAAGGTTTTTTCTCATTTGCTGAAGATGAGCGTTTGTCACATTCTGTGAAAGACCCTTAAGCCCAAGTTTCTGCAACAAGAAACGCACACAACTTTCATGCAATCCAGATCAGCAAGCACAGGTAAGTTTAGAACTGCCTACTGCTTACAGGCAATCAGTGTTTGATGCTATTCCTTGCAATAGCTAAGATTTATTTACCCAAATCCATACATCAATTTCCCTTCACAATCTGCTACTTCCCCAGTTTCCCCATTGGAAGAATACCTATCCTGGAGAGCAGCACAGTTTCCCCATTAACTGGAAGAATAACTATCCTGGAGAGCAGCACAGTTTCCCCATTTGGATTCAGCCAGCAGATTCCAGAATAGTTGGAATTTAGAAACCTGGATCCAAACTCACCATGGCACAAAATTGTGCATTTCCCAATCAATGCCCTCACACCACTGTCAGCACCAAAGGCACGCTGCCAGGCAGGACTGTCTGAACCCTCCCCACAGCCTCTCCCACCCGACACATCACAGTGCTCTTACCAACAGACGGTGCCTGTAGTGCTCTTCAGCCAGCTCACACCGCCGAGTCTCTTCCACACACAGAACAACATCTGTCACTGAGTTAAAGTATCTTTTACACAGAAACATCCTCATATATACAAAACCTTCTTCCACCATGCACACAACCTTCTCCCACAGAGGGGCACTAGATCTCCAACTAAATCTGCTTCAATATTGAATTTCCTGCACTGTTACCTGGGCAAGTTTTGATTACAGTCAAGTTTTTAGATTTTGCTGGTTTACCACAACACATTTCTGATTCAGTGTTAAGTAAAGAATTCCTTTCCAACCTTAAATCATTTTCTGCAGGCTCTTGGCTGCCTATGGGCTAACATACTGTAATTGCAACAGTTTTATTAGTTGTTAGTACAGCCTTATGTACATCTAATGATAAGGTGTTTGTTGTCACCCACGCTACTGCACATTCCTGCTTATTAACCAGATCTTTTGCCTGCGGGAACGCTTTTGACCTGTCCCTGTTAGAGACTAAGTACAGATTGGATACAAAGCTTCCAGTGTGCAAAGGCTCTCCGTAAGGCAATCCTCGCTGCTAGTTGGTCAATGTCCTTTTGGTGAGCGTGCATTCTTCTCCTGTGCTCCCATGAGAGCATCCAATCAGAGAAACACTGATGGATTATCGTGCTTCGGTGGTGCTCGCGGGCCAGCTCTAGGAAAAAACCACACAAATTACTCATGACTTGCTCCATCCTGGGCTCTTTTATATCAGATGAGGCCATGACATTTGAGCCACTTGTTCTGAAGTGACAGAAGCCCTAACACCAAAAAATGGTAGTCAGAATCCACAATAACACTCAGCTATGGACAATATCCTTCCAATTGATCACAAAGGCAGTTTTAAAGCAGTAACATACTATGTTGACTTAAGGGGAAGTTAATGCTGCGTCACATGTTCAACATACACAAGCTGGATTACAATTCAGCATTCTCCTACCACCACTTCCCAGATATCCAAGCCAGGTTCTTTTCCACTACCACCGATCAACAGGTATTCATGTCTGAACTCGTTCCAATGACTTCCAGGAAAAAAACAAAAGAACTGGTGTAATTTCTTTACCATCTTACGTGAGTTGTGATTTTCTGATTGGCAAGAAAATCCACACATAGATTGACTGATAATAGCCCTGAATGCATCCTTCTCACAGGTATCTCAGAATATAATTTGCAATGTGCGAGTTTTCATCAAGGGAACTGTAAAGCATTTTCTTTTAAATCAATTACATGGAAAGCAGGTGATGTTCCTGACAATTCAGTATATAACCTTAGCTAGCCAGGCCTGCATACAGTCCCAAGTTGCATTTCATCACCTGTTGAGCAACCAAAAATATTGCAGCGCCTCCTAGAATAGAAAAACACATCACTGTGTCCTAAACAAAGGGGGCTGAGCCCTGTTCTGTCCTAACTCACCATTCTGATGCTTTTTTGCTCTGCGGAGGTTTAGGTAGCCCAGCCACGCTTCCATGCATCTCTTCAACTCCCGGTGCTGATGGTGAGTTACTGCCCTTGTCTCCTTCTGCTTGTCATTCTGGCTGTCTAAATACAGCTCTCGCCACTGCAACCAGGCCTGACAGAGCAATTCAGGAGCAGGGGGGGAGTAAGGGGAAAAATATGGACAAGATTACAGAAGTAGAACAGAGAAGAGGAAGAACATGCAGGCAATGAGAAATTCCATTTAAGATCTAAAGGTGAAGGCCATGAACAATGAAGTTCGACTCCACAAAGAGGAAAAAAACCCCAACCCAAACAAATGCCAAAGGAATGTCAGCACAGGAAAGATCAAAGACAAGGAATGTCAATATCAAACTTCTTTTTCCCTTTTTTAGATGTTTTCACACTTTTTCCATTAAAAGGCCAAAATAATACTTTGTGGAAAACAGGCTCTCTTACAGACAAAGTATTTTCATATAAAATAGAATTGTATCTTGAGATATGATAAGATTTCCCAAGTTGTGAGTTTATCTGGTTAGTAGAATCCAAGACACACACAGGAGGCAGCACAGCCATCTTACAGCAAAGGCCAAATTAAATACCATCACCTGTTTTTAATGAAACAGACAAAAAGCCAGAGTTCCAGGGAAAGCGAAAAAGCCACCCTGTTCTCACTTCCATTAAGCTGAACAATTTACTGAAGGAGCTGACAACCTCTCAAGAACATGAAATGCTGGATTCTATTTTCTTACCCCAAAATGGAGTTAAACATGCTTACAAATTCATTAGGACATAGAAATGTTGTCTTACAGAGGCAAGGTGATGTCAAACAGCTGACATGCACCCACCCTGCAGCTGTGGTGCTGCGAGCAGGGCATGACATCTCACACACTTGTTCTCTTTTACCTCTTATTTACCTGTGGGTAGTTCTCTGGTGGAAAGAAAACTGATACTTTCACTATCATTGTATAAGACAGTAATAATTTCTTGCTCAGTTTGCTTCCTAGCAAATATAAGACGTGGATCCAGCTTGCTTTGCCTAGATTTCTTGTAAAGAAATCTTTCTTGTAAATAAATTGTTTTGACCTTCTTCCATCATATGTGCTGTAATTTGCACAGCAAATTAGAGTAAGACCTGTTTTTTTTTCTTAATCTGCAACATATTAGTTACATGTGAATGCAACTCAAACATTAGAAATGGTAATAGCTGGAGTTCCAAGGACTTACCCGAAATTGCAGGCTCTGTGCCCAATGCTGCAGAGCCAAAACATTCATCTCACGTCTCGCACAGTTCTGATAGTGTTGTCTTCTCCACACTGCCCATGACAGGCTGCCAAAACAATGTCACAGACATGTTCAAATGCAGGTTCCATAGTTTGGTGCAAGAAATCACCTTTCTCTCACTGGAAAAAGGTACGAGTGACAATCTTTTAAATTTAGTCTATGGGTATACCAGAAGAAGTCACAGGCACACACACAAAAAAAATAAAATAAAATTAGAACATGGAACAAACACAGCAGGAAGAGAGAACACAAGTTAAAAACACGGCCCTCTGGTCAGTGCCTTTCTGCCCATTTCCACTCCATTCTTACCGCAAACAGCTTCTTTCCCTGAACGCCAGTGCCACAGACTGCAGCCCGTGCTTCGTCCTTTGAACATGAACATAAACCAGCCAGCACTGCCAGGTCCTCAGCAAATTTTGCTTCTTTGCTGTGTAGAAAAAAAAAAATTAAATTAAAATTACAGCATCTTAAGTTCAGGCAAGAATCTGGCATTTTTAACCCCTCCATAACCCCACTGGTCCCTGAGCTCCGGTCCCCTCAGCCGCAGTGACACCTCGTGGTGTCACCCCGAAACGACAGCCACCAGAGCAGCCACCGCCACCAGCCACCCTGGCCGAGGGTGTCACACCAACAAGGTTCTCTGAAACGCTGACAGCATCATGCCACTTGTTCAGAGCAGCATGAATTATCAGACAATGGCACCGCTTTGTCTTCGGTGCTTACAGGATGTATAATTGTATTACAATATTCAGCGTTACAACCTTATTGGGTAAGAATTACAGGATTTTCTTTGGTTCGTTTTTTAAAAAAAAAAAAAAAGTTCATCAGGTTCATCAGTAGCTTTTGAAGAGCTATTGTCTATTACAAGCAGAGAAATCAACCAGAAACATGTCAAGTTTATTTAGCAGGCTGGTCACGCAGCTAAAAACAGAAGTGGTGTCACAAATTCCACTTCACCACTTTATGCAGCGCACTGCACTTTCGCCTCACAACAGTCTGGCTTGTCAGAACTGACACTGTTGAAGCAAAGTTATTAGAAAGAAATAATTTAAAACCAGGATTGATTTTATGCCACTTCACCCTTACACAAAAAAAACCACTTTATTTTGCCCCTCCAAGATTTCCTTGCAATCTGATCAATCAAGTACTAACTTACCTTAAAATGGGTCACTTTTCTATCTTTTTGCTTAAATAACACACAGCTGTTTCTCTAAGTACTCTGGCCTCACTCAGTAAGAAAGGAAATCTACAGCTATCAGTCTGTTTCCAAAGGTGCCAGTCTATATAATATTACCTACACAAAAAAAAACCACTTTTTTTTTTCCCCTCCAAGATTTCCTTCCAATCTGATCAATCAAGTATTAACTTACCTTAAAACAGGTCACTTTTCTATCTTTTTGCTTAAGTAACACACAGCTGTTTCTGTAAGTACTCTGGCCTCATTCATTAAGAAAGGAAATCTACAGCTATCAGTTTGTTTCCAAAGGTGCCAGTCTATATAATATTCTGAGGGTACATTCATACACAGAGAGACCAGTTAACTTACTTCGCAAACCAGCAGAGAACAAAACCACAGGGTAATCTTTTAAAAAGTGTCATCACCCCTTCAGGTGAACAGATATTCCCTGACCCCAAAGGAAGTTGCAACCAAAATAAGCAACTTCATCAGTAGGATAAATCCATTGCAGAACAAAGAATCTACACAATAAGACAAGGGGCTCTTCAAAAGCTTGGGCTTCTTTTCAATTGCAAGACACAAACTGGAAGGAATAGTGAATATGAATAGGAATATGTGCATTTAATACCACAGAGAATTATTATCTAATTTCTGTAGCCACAGCGGATAAAGAATTCCAATAACAGATTCTATCAAAGAAAACAAAACTATTTAAACACATATTGTGATAAAAGAAAAAACAAAACCAAACACACACAAGAAAAAACAAACAAAACCCAAACAAACAAAACCAGCCAAGTCATCCCCCAAAAAAACAAGCAACACAATCCAGAGCAGATGGAGAGGCCCTTAAGCTTATTCACAGGCATCCCTAACTCACTGTACAGCCACACTGCAGTGCCTCAAACGGAACCCCCCGCCAGCTTCCCACAGACAACCATCTGCACCTAAAAGCATCACACTCCCATGGGGTGGGGGAGGTCAACGTGCAAACACGTGCAAGGGACACAGATTCCGTGTAAATATTTCCCTTGGAAACTCCCACCTCAATATGTCCCCAAATAGAGGCAGTTACCAAATAAAGTCACTTCACTTACCATGAGACTCTGCAACATAATATTTGTTCCTCTTTCCTTGTTGCTGGCGTACATAGGTTCTCCAAGCCTTGAATATCATATTTTGGAGTAAGAGCCTGAAAAATGAAAAAATGCCAGTCAGTGAAATAGCTACCACTGCCTAGAAGTAGGATTCTTTCAAGTTCAGTAGCAATTTTAGTACTTTTAAGAATTAGGAAATTTTGACTTCATCCTAAGATGACAGTAACAAAAATACACACACACACAAAAAAAGGGGGCAGAGAGGAGGACAAAATATGAAAATAAGCAATGAAGACATTGCTCTTGGCCTAGAGGTACTATAATGTAACTTGCTTACTGGCATTAATAACTCCTTCAGAACCCAAAGGAAATTTCTTGTACTGTTACATACACACAATAATAGGAAGTAATTTCCCAAACCTGTAATGGCTGGCCGCTCTCAGGCGGAGCTTCCTTGCTCTGCCAGCAGTCCACCACTCTTTCCACTCTCCAAAAGTTTTTTGAAGAATCTTCTGGTCATAAAAGCACCTAAACAGTTGAAAGATTTGGACAAGGGAAGCTTCATACAGGTTTCCAGACTGACCACAAATCAGTTTTAATGAAGATTATGCTGCCTCTCTTGCAGTCTTGTCTGATTAGCCTAACAGCATCTAATTGCATTTAAAAAATATTACACTACTCTGACACTTTATTCCAAGACTCTGTGAAGTATGACAAAAAGCAATTGCCTTACTGACTGTGAACATTTCACATAAAGTCAAGGAAGGATAGACATTGTTAACTGACTTGCCAAATATCAGAGTGCCAGTTGACTTTACACCTACGAATAACTTGTATTTTTTATCTCAGTTCTGTTTTACTCAATCAACCAGCACAGTTGATAAGGACACGTGTATTTTCCTTGCTAATTTTGTTTGTTATTTTAACACAAAGTATTTTATGCATAGAAATAAATGCAAAAGCTACTTGAGGTTTTATAATGTCTCAATATTCCATTGTGTTCTTAGAAACAGCACACTGATCTTGTCATCCCAAATCTTTCCAAAGAAAACTTAAATAGGCTTAAAAACTTGTTTTCATCTATGCTGAAAACGAAGCTGTTCATCTGCTCATCTACCTTCTCCTGCCAATGGATGCTAAGCCATCCAAAAAACGGATTCACATGTGACCTTCAAATTCTTTAATCTCAGTAGAACAGTCTCTACTTTTATACCCAGATTTAATTAACACACACCTGACCAGGTAAGAAGCAATGCTACATTTTAACTGAATTGTGAACAACTGAAAATTCAAACATAGGAAGGTTTGCATGAGGGAATTAGGATTTTGATCATCTACTTTTGTGTTCTTAGAAACAGCACACTGATCTTGTCATCCCAAATCTTTCCAAAGAAAACTTAAATAGGCTTAAAAACTTGTTTTCATCTATGCTGAAAACGAAGCTGTTCATCTGCTCATCTACCTTCTCCTGCCAATGGATGCTAAGCCATCCAAAAAACGGATTCACATGTGACCTTCAAATTCTTTAATCTCAGTAGAACAGTCTCTACTTTTATACCCAGATTTAATTAACACACACCTGACCAGGTAAGAAGCAATGCTACATTTTAACTGAATTGTGAACAACTGAAAATTCAAACATAGGAAGGTTTGCATGAGGGAATTAGGATTTTGATCATCTACCTAAAAATAGTATGCATAATCTACTATTTCAAGCAATAGTCTCTCAAACATTTTGCCATATGCTCAAGATGGGCAGCAGCCTAAGAACTGGAAAGTCTCATCAACTGGAGTACAAATACTTTAAAAAAATTTCTCATCTCTTTGTGATGGAGAGAAGGAAAACAAAAGGACCCATGAAAGCACACAAACTAACAAACAGAAAGCACACAAGCCCAGACTCACAACCTTTGATTACAACTATCCTATTAGCTTAATGATATTGGTCATGTGTGTAAAACCAGCAGGATTAGGCCCAGAATACCTAGAGGTTCCGCAGTGAAACACATATGAATCCTCTCACAAGTTGCAATTCATAGCTACCTACCCCAAGCCAAGTTGCTAAGTCATTCCAAGCACTCAAGCAGAAAAGAAAAAAACAAATAGAAAAAACAAGTGAGCTACACATAAATTTTTTGGACTTGGTGAATTAACAAAACATTGCAAGAAAAAGCTACAGAGAACTGGGGACTCTTACATCGAAGAAAGCAATTACGTATTGCTTATATTGCTTGGTGAACTTTATAAAATGCATTTCTACTCATCCTTCTAAAAGAAATAAACATTGTCCTGAATTGACACACAGCTGAAATAGTGCACATCCAGTATATGGGACAGCAAGAACAGCAAGGTTCACAGGACAACTTCCGTTTACCAGCTAAGGCAGATGTCCTCAGAATATATTTCATATAGTACAATGAAATTGGAGAACTGAAGGCTTGATCTTATTCTGACAGTAACAAATGCAGGTCTTTCCACTAAAGGCCTGATCTGACAGTAACAAATGCAGGTCTTTCCACTGGGAACTGCTTCAGTTCCCAAGGGTGTGGTCAAACAGGAATGAACATGCAAATTAAAGCAAAGCAAGAAAAGAGTATCAAAGTGTTGGTTTTCAGGAGCTGACAAAACACTAACACCAGAAACAAATCATCTGCCACGAGTATGTCAGAAGTCAGACAGATAAAAAGCATGTATAGATATACATTAAGAACAACAGTGAAAACAGTAAAGGGGTATGTGAAAAGTCAGACACAAAGCATATATAGACATACATTAAGAACAACAGTGAAAACAGTAAAATGAACTGAATATCAGGATCTCTAGCTATAACTTTGAAAAATCATTAAACTGAAAGCAGGTATCACAATCACAGCCTACCATTTATATGCACTACAGTTCAACTGCATCCAAACAACCACAATTCCTGTGAATTTAGTTAGTAAAGTTTAACCTGGATTATTAAAACCAAACAAAAAGCAGGAGCAAGAAGGGTATTCAAAGGAAACCTTCAAGTGATCTTATAAGGCATCCAAATGTTTTATTGGCCCAATGGAATGGTAGAGCACTAAGCCATAAAAAAAAAAAAAGGAGGAAAGAAAAGAAAAAAAAACCCCAAACTCACAAAACAACCAAACAACCCACCCTTGATTTCTATAGTTTTATCTACCTGGCTCAAAACAACCTAACAACCCAGCCTTGATTTCTATAGTTTTATCTACCTGGCTTTGGAAGGAATAACTCGTCCAAATGTCTTTTTTGTCCATAGATAGAAGAATTTCCTTGATAGGTATCTGGAATAGAAGGAAAGGTTAGTTGCCTTTGCACTCTTCCTCTCTTAATTGCCAGAGAGCAGTAAAAACAGGAACTTTTATGGTAGTTTCGGTAATAAAACTAAGGGTCTGGTTTTGCAGAGATCAATGCATACATGAAATATTTACATCCTGAAATTAGTAGCTTTAACGGGACTATTCACCAAGCACAAATAGAGGCCCACGCACGACTGCAAGACTTGAGTTGGGACATACGTATTTAAGAAGGCCAGGCAGCTGAAACACCTTCCAAGCAGCCCACTTACACCCAGTGATACTAATAAGCAGGCTGCTGACTAACTGGGGAGCCTTTTTAATGATTTAGAAGCGATAATATCACTGTTTCCCTGAAGTCAACCAGCTGAGTCAGACTTGTTTCCAGAATACTTGAGCCAATCTAATGTTTACCCCTGACACCAGCAGATCTTCCTTCTTCCTACCTTCCTCACAGCAGTTCCACTTCTCAAACTTCTCCCAGTACCAGTTCAACTCACTAATCAATGATTGTGATACTATCACCCTTTCCCCCCTTTTTTTTCAAACAGATTTTAAGTGTTAATTGGCTCACAGAAGGCGCCAATAAGCACCAAAGACATCACAAGGCAATTAATTAAAGCAGCCATGAACAGGGCCTCCCTCTTTCAACAAGTCTGAATTGCTCAATTAGCTCCACTTGTTCAACAAATATTAGGCTTTTAATCTCTAAACAATTACCATTCCACCTTTGTGAAGATTCCTTCAACAAACAAAAGAAGTAAACACAAGACGAAGGCAAGACTAGATCATTACCCCAGCAGTCCCCTATCAAAGCACACTGTTAAATAGCCATTTTTTAATTTTACATAAAATAAAAAATGTATGAAATCTGACCGTACCAATGCATGGCCTCAAGTTACCACAAGACACCTTCAGAACCATCTGACAAAAACCTTTGCCTTAGCCTGGATTTGTACTATAAAAAGCAGGCTTCTTTAGGCCTGAGCTCCCTGCTCCATTCAGTGAAAATTATGTTTTGTACTTATCACCTGGTTTGGAATTCTTTTAGCCCTCTTCCTTGATGCCAGGTATACCCAACTTGATCCAAATTCTCATGGCCTCTGTCCTGAAATCGATGTCTGGCAGATTGGGAAGCAACAGATTGCCCCGTTGCGTGCATTTGATGCCTAGGGAGTTGTTGGATTTCGTGCATCTTCAGAGATTTTGAACTTAAAAGAAAAGATAAATATTTCCTGTCAAAATATATTAACTGCAGAGAGGTGGCATTATTGCAATAAATTAATCTACTACAAAGGTATACAATCACATACAGAAGTTGACAGCTACAAAATGCTAAAACACATTTTTGTCTCTATCTGGCATTTTTCACTCTCTGGAATTTCAAAATTGTTTCCCCAAGACAAGCAGAAAGACACATTTCAGTGCAATCATGTCACAGACAATTTCTTTCTCCTCTAAAGCTGAAATAAGAAAGCACTACAATGCATTTGTGCTTCCCCTCCCATGCGTGTGTATACAGCGTGCCTTTACGGAGAAGACTTGAATGTATTTTCTGCCTTTTGTTCTCATTTTCTGCCTTTTGTTCTCAAACATATCAAGGTATTCTGTCTGTTGCTGAAAAAATTCTCTTGAGGATGAGGAAACTGAAGTGAGAATATCCCATTTTAACATGAAACGCACTTCCATATACAGTTCCTTTACAAGGGACCCCTTCCTAGTTTTGCTCATATTTTAACGAAATGTGTTTCTTCTTTAAAACACTAAAATCACTTCCTGTTTTTACATATTCATCATTAAAAAGCAAAATTAGCCATATTTTTCCATCATCTAGTTTACTTCTACACTGAGTTCTAATCTAAAAAAGAACATGTATGTTTTTATGAATTCTAAGTATTTTCTCAGTAATTTTCTGAAAACAAGAATGATAAAAAAAGAAATCTAACCAGATAAAACTTGCTGAACCAGTTGTATTGAAGCTTCTTTCCCAAAACAAATACTGCCACCACCCTGAAAATTTGCACACTAGAACCACAAACACATTCTTGAACTCCATAACAGGCAACCGAAGAGGATAGTCTGAAGTCTCACCCTAACAATCACCTGAACTGAGCTAGGAAAAACATGGCTGCAGCCAGAAAAAAATGTTAGTTCCATGAAGTTATTGGAATAATCCATGCTAGAAAGTTCCAGGAGTTCAGCTGAATAACCACTCACAGTATTAACAACAAACCACTGGAGGGAAGAAGAAACCCCAACAAAACCAAAACCCAACCCACCTCCCCAGAAATCTCATAAGAGGAAATACAGTATTGTTGGCTTGTTCCAGCAAGCTGCAAGGAGCTAAAAAAAAAGCCAATAAAAGAAAACAAAACCTATCTTTTGTGTGTGAGAGGTAAATTCTTGTTCCCCTATATAATATTATTTGAATGTTTTCTGAAAAAGGTGGGCACCCTCCAGCAGACAAAATAACTGTTCACCCCCAGCTGCGCAGTTAAGGTGACCGTATGCACTTCTGAAGAAAGAGTTTCAGGCACTTTTAAATTTATGCAAAATAACTTTCAGCACAAACTCCTGTACATGTCTACTAGGCTGAACTCCCTTTAAAACCATCTAATGTGCTCCACAGGTAAACAACCTGCTCTGACCATATGCAATGAGAATGTAACACAATGTAGACAAAAAAGCTCAGTTGGAACATGTAAAGTTTAAGGCCTGGGGATGGTTAGTGATCTTCCAACCTATGTAATTTTTAACAGATTGTTCCTAGATTTGCAACGCTGTATGTGCTACACATATTTAGCAATGACAGCCCGTGTCCATGAGAATTTATGGCAAGTAACCACAAAAAGAGAATAGGATCACTTCTCCCTTGTAGAGTTCAAAAATAAAAGCATGGGAAGAATAAAAGAATGGAACACCACAGAATAAATCTGAGGTCGGGCCAATAACTATATACAAATATCTTATGATCCAGTCTAATACCTCAAACTCAAGAATATCATTTTTATATTTGAATGTTATGATAATGTAAACCCTCATAAAGTTGTGTTCCGTTATGGGTTTGGGGTGGTGTGTTTCTTTGTTCTTTTTTGCTTTAAGAGGAACACTTTCTCATTAATAACATTCCACAGAGACCAACAAGCCCTCTTATGAGAGTAACTCAACTTTATTTTGACCTATGGAACACCTAAGATGTCATAATCAAAAAAGAGAAAAATTACAGCTGAGATCTTTACCAAGGTAACATCTTATTATTGCTTACCTGCTTCTGGATTTCTCCAAACGTCATAATCAAAAAAAGAGAAAAGTTACAGCTGAGATCTTTACCAAGGTAGCATCTTATTATTGCTTACCTGCTTCTGGATTTCTCCATTTTGCTATAGTTCCAAGTCTGCAGTGAACAAACACCCTCTCTGCACTACAATGTTGTGTGTTAGCTTCGGACAAAGCATAAATTGGTTCCTGTTATTTGTGATAAGTCCATCAAAGGATCTACACTAAATGCAGCCTGTATCTTAACAATGACAGGAGTTCCACTCAGTTGACCTGCATACAAATAGAATAATGCAATTCTAGATGTTTAAGGTGAAAAGTATGTTTGCACACTCACAGCCTTGCTGACATAATCTATTGGTAATAAAGTGGTAACTGTTTGAATCCCAAGACAGCAACTGTGCGTACCTATATAAAGCTATGCTAGAAAGATCCTATAAAAAGGTGTTGATCCTAAATTATGGTCCCCTACTTCGAAATAAAATTAATAACCAAGGGCAACAGATCAAACTGACTCCTTTTCACTTTTTTAAGTTACTACGCTCTTCTCCCTTCACAAGCACGTAGAAAAGAAGAAAACAATGAATTCCATCCAGTTCCAGAAAGAACTTCTGCATGTGCAGAACCTTCCACCCACCGAAGGTCTCGGGGAACATAAAGCTCTTTGAAAGCACCTGGATTTGTGACCAGCAATCACCTTGTGAGCGTGAGGTCCAAAGTGGACATTAGGTGTGACAGAAAAAATACCACAACCAAAGACTTACTGCAGTCAATTTGAGTCTGCCTGCACGGAATTCCTTTCGGCAGAGAATTATAACCTGATATGCTTTCTGACAAACACTCGGGAACCTCACGCTGCTGCTCTAAAACCCGGCCCTGAGGCTCTGGAGACCTGGCCGCGGTGCCTGCCCCCCAGGTCGCCCAACAAACGCACCCTGCTGCTCCCCACCGCCGGCTCCCGCCCTGCTGAAGGCGCTACGGGCCCCGCAGCCAACGTTGCTCCCTGCTCCCTCGGTAACGGCCGGCCGAGGGCTGGACCGGGAGAGGTCTAGGCCGGGCGAGGGCTGGGGCGGCCGAAGGCAGGGCCGCACCGGCACCCCGCCCCTCGGGGGGCTCTCACACGGCAACTGGCGGGCAGCAACCGCTCCCGGGGGCTCTACTCTCCCTCACCGTGAGGAGCAGGAAGCAGCCGGCGCCCTGTGGGGAGAACACAATCCACCCGCGCCTCAGCACCGGCCCGCGCGAGGACGCGGTTCCCGCCCGCCCTCACAGCGGGGGCGGAGCCAGCCCCGCCCACCACCGTTAGCAGGGGACGGAGCGCCGCCCCCCTGCCCCGCGGCGCCACAGCGCCCCCCGGAGGCGGGGAGGAGCGCTGCCCGCTGGGCCCCGCTCCGGTAAGGCGTTTTCAGAGCCAGGCACCCCACATCGCACAGCCAGGCACCCCACATCGCACAGCCGGGGCACCCCACATTTCAGAGCCAGGCACCCCACATCACACAGCCAGGGCACCCCACATTGCACAGCCAGGCACCCCACATCACACAGCCGGGGCACCCCACATTGCACAGCCAGGCACCCCACATCACACAGCCAGGGCACCCCACATTGCACAGCCAGGCACCCCACATCACACAGCCAGGACACCCCACATTTCAGAGCCAGGCACCCCACATCACACAGCTAGGGCACCCCACATCACACAGCCTGGCACCCCACATTTCAGAGCCAGGCACCCCACATCACACAGCTAGGGCACCCCACATCACACAGCCTGGCACCCCACATTTCAGAGCCAGGCACCCCACATCACACAGCTAGGGCACCCCACATCACACAGCCTGGCACCCCACATTTCAGAGCCAGGCACCCCACATCACACAGCTAGGGCACCCCACATCACACAGCCTGGCACCCCACATTTCAGAGCCAGGCACCCCACATCACACAGCTAGGGCACCCCACATCACACAGCCTGGCACCCCACATTTCAGAGCCAGGCACCCCACATCACACAGCTAGGGCACCCCACATCACACAGCCTGGCACCCCACATTTCAGAGCCAGGCACCCCACATCACACAGCCAGGGCACCCCACATCACATAGCCAGGGCACCCCACATCGCACAGCCTGGCACCCCACAGCACATGGACCCTCTCTCAGCCCCAGCCTGCAGTGGCTGGCAATGGTCAGGGAGCTCGTGGAGCACCAGCTGCTCCCAGGCCTCGCTTTGTGTGTGTATGAAAAGCGAACTGGCCAGGAGAAACTTCCCAGAGCCACAGAATCATGGAATTGTCAGAGTTGGAAGGGACCTTCTAGAGATCATCCAGTCCAACCCCCCTGCCAAAGCAGGGTTGCCCAAAACACATCACTCAGGAGCATCCAGGTGGGGCTTGAAGATCTCCAGAGAAGGTGACTCCACACGCTCCCTGGGCAGCCTGTTCCTGGGCTCTGGCACCCTCACTGGAAAGAAGTTCCTCCTTATTTACAATACAGAGCTGTATCGCTTAAGGAAAAAAAATATGAGAAATGTTTATTTGTGCTATCCAACAGGTAACCACCTTTCCATGCTGCCATTCAACTCCATCAGCGATCTGGGGAAAAAACACTTTATTCAGACCCTGCAGGCCCTTCCTTGCCCCGGCTCGGGCTCCCAGAGCCAGTGAAGAGGGTCCGGGATGCTCTGCTGGGTGGCCGCGGGTACGGGGGTGCCGGGGACACGGCTCCCCACCAGCACCCGGGCACCGGGGGCTCCCCCCAAGAATTCCTCACACGGGTGTTGGGAAACCACGTCTGCCCCTTGTCACCCACGGCCAAAAGATTTCCCAGGTGAATCAGCTGCTCCACTCGTTATACCAATTCCCCTCCCGCTGTCTCGGGGAAACGAGACTTTCTGGCGGAAAAGCCGTAAGGGGTGTTTTTACAGCCTGCCGGGGCACCGGGATTTGCCGCTCACGTTCCCGCCGGTCCCTCACCGAGATGGGACAGGCCCTGCCGCCCCCTCACCCTCCGGGGGGACGGGGACACGGAGGCGCCCGGCTGCAGGCGGGGGGGGGCTGGCGGGGAGCCTTCCCCGGGCCCGCAGAGGCCTCCGAGGCGGCGGCGGGTCCGAGGGTCGCGCTGTCAGCCGCGCCGCCCGCCACCGCCGCCGGGCCCGAAGCGCTGAGGGACGGGGCCGCGCTCTCCCCGCCGCTTCCCGCCCTTCTTTCACCCC